TTTCCTCTGCAGTTTCTCTTCTCTCTCCTACCCTTTTAACTGTACAGAGGTCAAATGTAGCACAAAGAAAGACTAATGCAGAAAGGAGATGCACCCTCAGTCTGCTGCAGCCTCACAGCCTCCCCAGTTTCTGTACAGTCAGTTTTCTCAGGTTGCAATGCCTGGTGTGTTCCTACTTCTTCTGTTCTTGATCAGAATCTTTTTTCTTGGGATATACAAGTAGTTCCTGACTCAACTGCCAATCGCGTAGTGACTGTTCTACGTTACATCCCTGAAAAAAGTGACTTATGACCGGTTTTCAAACTTTTGTAGCAAGCTGTTCCACTGATTAATTGTCCTCACTGTTAAAAAGTTCCTCCTTAATTCCAGGTTGTTTCTTTCTTTGGTCAGTTTCCAACCATTGTGTCTTGTCCTGCCCTCTGGTATTTTGGAGGGTAACGTGACCCCCCCCCTTCTTTGTGGCAGCCCCTCAAATACTGGAATACTGCTATCATGTCACCCCTACTTCTTCTTTTCTTTTTTTGAAAAAGAATCTTATTCCCCGGATATATCTCATTCTTTGCCACCTACCCACTCACACTGACACACACAGACACACAGACACACAGAGACACTTTCCTTGACATAATCAAAGCGAACAACAGGAGATTAAATGCCTCCCATGCAAAGATGGATTGAGCTGATGAAGGCACTTCGTTCCAAGGCTGATCTGCTGCTACTTAGCTGGCCCATGATTGCACACATGAAACCTCCGGTGCCCCCTGCTCAGATCCCCCTGAGAAAAAGTAATTTACACTTCTCGGGACAAATCCCATCAGAGTCTTCCATCATCTTGCCAACTCCAAGTATAACTACCACCTTTGTGTGTGTGTGTGTGTGTGTGTGTCCCTCGTGGGACACGAAGCCCAGAGGAGCGAGCTCATAAACTGCCAGAAATGGCCCAAGCTTTCTCTTAAATGTGTTACTATGATTTGTGGGAACCAGCTGAGGTCTGTTTCATTTTCTTGCACTGACTAATAAATTAACTTTCCCTGTGCTGTGTTGTCTGTACTAAAAGTGGACCATCCATTAAAAGCTCTGGAAAACATAAACCCACCAGAACTGTAGAAAATTATGGTCCAGCACATTGATTAATTATCTCCATCAAGTCAGTCTTGATTCTTTGAGAACCACAATAGATGGATTCTCTCCATGATGATCTGTCCCTAAAGCGGTTCTTCAGCTGTTCTAAGAGTGGGGGCACCCATCACTGCTGTAACTGAGTCCATCCACTTTACTGCAATTTTCTTTTCTTTCCTTCCAGCCTTCCCAGTGTTGTGGCAGGATTTGGGGTGGGGGGTGGGGTTCAACATTACCATCTGTTCTCTTTTTCTCTCCCCCCCCTCACACACACATACACACATGCACACATGCACACACGCACAAAGAGTGAAAGAATATCTTCAGTTTATACTAAGATTCTTTCTGCGCACTGTTTTATTAGGGTGTCCGTAGGCTTTTGGATATCAGCAAAGCACTACACCAAAATCTTGACGCAACAATATATCCTGAGCTCTCTTTTTTGCATTATTTTAGTGCATATATGCTAATTAGTGATCTAGTACAGGCCAAAGAAATATCTATCTATCTATCTATCTATCTATCTATCTATCTATCTATCTATAGATCATCTATCTATCCTAGTGGACAATCACTTAAATATGAGCCAGCAGTGTGCTGCAGCTGCCAAAAAGGCCAGCATAGTGCTGGGCTGCATTAACAGAGGGATAGAATCAAGATCACGTGAAGTATTAATACCACTTTACAATGCTTTGGTAAGGCCACACTTGGAATACTGCATCTAGTTTTGGTCACCACGATGTAAAAAATATGTTGAGACTCTAGAAAGAGTACAGAGAAGAGCAACAAAGATGATTAGGGGACTGGAGGCCAAAGCATATAAGGAAAGGCTGCTGGAATTGGGTATGTCTAGTTTAATGAAGAGAAGGATGAGGGGGGACATGATAGCCCCAATATCTCAGGGGCTGCCACAAAGAAGAGGGAGTCAAGCTATTTTCCAAGGCGCCTGAAGGCAGGACAAGAAGCAACAGATGGAAACTAATCAAGGAGAGAAACAACCTAGAACTAAGGAGAAACTTCCTGACAGTTAGAACAATTAACCAATGGAACAACCTGCCTCCAGAAGCGGTGAATGCTCCAACACTGGAAGTTTTTAAGAAGAGACTGGACAGACATTTGTCTGAAATGGTATATGGTTTCCTGCCTGAGCAGGGGGTTGGACTAGATGACCTCCAAGGTCCCTTCTAACTTTATTATTATTATTATTAATATTATTAATGTTATTATTATTATCATCTATCATCTATCTACCTATCTTTCTACTTCTATCTATCTATCTATCTATCTATCTATCTATCTATCTATCTATCTATCTATCTATCCATCTATCTATCCATCTATCTATCACCTATCTATCTGTCATCTATCATATCTATCTATGTCTGTCTGTCTGTCTGTCTATCATCTCACACAATGTTATTTTTTGCAGCTCACGTGTACTGTGTTTGATAGAAGAATGTGTGCATTCCTGAACACTGGTAAAACAGGAAACCTGAAAGAGGCATAACATCATCAGAGAGAAAAAAAAGTGCTCCATTGCAACATTTTATCAGTATACCCCAAAAAGAAATAATTAGAATGGAACTCAAAAGAGCAACACCCTCATCTGGACCCTTGTTCTACCTACTATACTTTAATCCCTAATCTCTTTGGAAGTCTGCTGGAGAGGGTGGCTTTAATGAAATAAATGAATAAATAAGTTTAATGAAATAAATAAATACATTTTCCATGTTTTTCAGAGGGTCTACTTGCCTTCAATAGCTCCTATGTAAGTAGGAGAACTTGGCTGCAAAAAGAGGATGATCCACTTTAGAACAGTGTTTCTCAAGCTTGGCAACTTGAAGATGTCTGGACTTCAACTCCCAGAATTCCCCAGCCAGCATATGAAATTGCCGATGAAGTCCAGACATCTTCAAGTTGCCAAGCGTGAGAAAAACTGCCTTAAAGGAACAGAAATACTTTCTCCTAGCACAAAAACATCATTAAAATAGCCCCAGCTATTATAGATTATAGGCATACAGAGACCACATCCCGTTTTCTGATGAACTTGCACAGACAAGCTGTGGCTTGCTGGTTTTCCATGGTTAAGATCAAGAACTCGTTCCCTCGCCCTCTTTCTTCCTCTAATTGCAGTTTTTATGGCTCAGACAGCTTAATTCACTGCTGCTCAACTACTGCTTGCTCTAAAAATCGGACCAGCCTTATGGTTCCACGGTTGAGAACAGCTGCCCACAAATGATCCAGGATTCCCACGGTACAGTTCAGGGATCATGGCAGAGAGCAATAAACATCCAAACCAGAAGGGTGAAAGCATTTATCCATGTGGCAAAGCGGTTTTGCTCTATGACCGAAGCCAGAGGCATCTCTTCATGATCCATTTGGCAAGCCAAGAGGGGTTTCATGACCTGTATCAATTATGCAAAGGGACCACAGCGTACAATCTTTCCTTGCATAACATTATTATGATTTGTTTATTTATTTTGCAGCTTTTCCTCTTAACGCTTCTCTTAATTATGTGAGTCACAATCTGCTGAAGCTTCAAAGCCCATCCACATTTTTTGGACGGCCTCTTGGTTTTCTTTGAAAACAAAAATTCACAAGAAGAAGGAGATTCAACCAGGAAATACAGATATTTCATTTAGTGACCGTTCAAAGTTACAACAGCACTGAAAAAGTGACTTATACTGTTTTTCACACTTATGCCCATTGCAGCATCCCGATGGTCACATGATAATAATTCAGATGTTAGGCAACTGGCTCAGATTGATGACGGTGGCAATTTTCGAGGATCCTGTGATCATCTTTTGTTACTTTTGTTGAGACTCTAGAAAGAGTACAGAGAAGAGTAACAAAGATGATCAGGGGACTGGAGACTAAAACATATAAGGAACGGTTGCTGGAATTGGGTATGTCTAGTTTAATGAAGAGAAGGACGAGGGGGACATGATGGCAGTGTTCCACTATCTCAGGGGCTGCCCCAAAGAAGAGGGAGTCAAGCTGTTCTCCAAAGCACCTGAAGGCAGGACAAGAAGCAACGGATGGAAACTAACGAAGGAGAGAAGCAACCTAGAACTAAAGTGAAATTTCCTGACAGTTGGAACAATTAACCAGTGGAACAACCTGCCTCCAGAAGCGGTGAATGCTCCAACACTGGAAGTTTTTAAGAAGAGACTGGACAGCCATTTGTCCAAAATGGTATAGGGTTTCCTGCCTGAGCAGGAGGTTGGACTAGATAACCTCCAAGGTCCCTTCCAACATCATCATCATCATCATCATCATCATTATTATTATTATTATTATTATTATTACCTTCCCACGAGCAAGGTCAATGTGGAAGCCAGATTCGCTTTACCACCATGTTACTAACTTGACTACTGCAGTGATTCACTTAATATCTCTGGCAAGAAAGACTGTAAAATGGGGCAAAACTGTCTTGCTTGGCAACAGAAATTTTGGGCTCAGTTATGGCCATAAGTTGAGGACTACCTGTAAGGAGGAATTTCCTGACAGGGAGAACGATGAATCAATGGAACAGCTTGCCTCTCAGAGTTGTGGGTGCTCCATCACTGAAGATTTTTAAGAAAAGATTAGATAACCATTTGCCCAGGATGGTATAAGGCAGGGATCCTCAACCTTAGCAGCTTTGCTGGCTGAGGAATTCTGGGAGTTGAAGTCCACAAGTCTTAACATTGCCAGAGTTGGGGACCCCTGGTATAAGGACTCCTGCCTTGGATAGGGGGTGGGACTGGAAGACCTCCAAAGTCCTTTCCCACCCTATGACTCTATGATATCCACCAAAATGGCTGTCCCCTGAGAGAGAATGCAAGCAAGAAAAGGCATGTTTACACAAGGTGCACACAGGGCCTAAAATCTGGCCTTACCGTTCAGATTTGAGGTAAAACAGAAGGCATCGTAACGCTCACGGTCTTTGTGCCGGTAGCCGTAGTTCCTCACACCAACTGGGGTGTCCTTTCGTCCACATTCATCCCGGGCCTTGGAGATGGGATACTGGACAGAACCATCTTCCAGCCACCCAGCGTTGCACCAATCCAGTCCATCCAGCCAGGCTTCATGCAACTGGTCGTAGGACGCCAGAATGCCATCCTGCTCTAGACAGGCCTTCTGTGCTTCATGGAAATTCAATGTGTAGCGCCCCAAGCGAGGGTGGTAGGGGAAGATCACCCCTAAAAAGACAGGGAGAGGAAACTCAGGAGTTCAGGTCAAAGGTCAACCTTAACGAGGCTTACCATACTTGATGCCTTCCCAACGGATTGGATTTCCAAGAGGACAAAATGTACTGAAGATGTTATCTAATTGGGTAATGAGATGTCGGTAAGAAAACAACCAGGTTTAGAGAGCAACAAAAACCCTTCATTTCAACCACGAGTTACAAATATTCTATTGGGACAAAACTAATGCCTTACAGAGGGATGCTCACATGGAAATTGAGGGTTGCACCATTTTAACCACTCTGGAAAGTTTGAAAGGATGTGAATAAGATCAGTCAATCCTAGATTTTAAGGGACCATGAGTCCTCAAATCCCAACCTCCTCCTCCTCCTCCTCCTTCTTCTTCTTCTTCTTCTTCTTCTTCTTCTTCTTCTTCTTCTTCTTCTTCTTCTTCTTCTTCTTCTTCTTCTTCTTCTTCTTCTTCTTCTTCTTCTTCTTCTTCTTCTTTTCCTTCTCCTCCTCCTCCTTCTATCATCATCGTCATCATTAAAATGTGTGTGCTGCCTGACTCCCAATGACTTTGGGCAACTTACAAGTACAAATATTTTTTTAAAAAATACAATAAGGAACAAAATAAAAGATAGTAAGATCTCCCAGATGAGGAAGTAAGGAAATAAGGGAGGGAGGGAGGGAGGGAGGGAGGAAGGGAGGAAGGAAGGAGGAAGGAAGGAAGGAAGGAAGGAAGGAAGGAAGGAAGGAAGGAAGGAAGGAAGGAAGGAAGGAAGGAAGGAAGGAAAAACAATCACATAGAAACATGTACAGGAATATGGGGATAACTTTGAACCAGGCCACGAGCCATTGAAAGAGGGAAAAAACTCTATACCCTATCCTGGGAAACAGGAGGGTATGAGAAAGAAACCCAAAATAACTCTGGCTTGAAAGGGGTATGAAAGGGGATAGAAAGAAACACTGTTAGGCTTTCAAGATAGTCTTATCATATTCAGCAACAACACCCCTCTTCCTTCCTTCCTTCCTTCCTTCCTTCCTTCCTTCCTTCCTTCCTTCCTTCCTTCCTTCCTTTCCTTTCCTTTCCTTTCCTTTCCTCCTCCCTCCCCCCTCCCTCCCTCCCTCCCTTCCCATGTATAAATCTAATTTTCACCAAGAAACTTTCCTGTGCAGAATCCCTCCTTGCATACATGCATCCTTCCTATATAAATCAATCAAGCAAAATAGATGGGCAATGCCACCGTTGTGAGGCTAGGCCGGGGCCGCAACTGATGTTGAGAAGCAATGGAAACCCTCTGATGGGGGTCTTGTCTGAATGAATTGAACAATCCAACTAGGCTTTGGGGAGCCAGATCTTAGAAGTACCTGTACCCCTAGCACAGTGTTTCTCAACCTTGACAATTTTAAGGCATGTGGACTTCAACTCCCAGAATTCCACAGCCAGCAATTGCTGGCTGTGGAATTCTGGGAGTTGAAGTCCACATGCCTTAAAATTGTCAAGGTTGAGAAACACTGCCCTAGCAGAAGGCAAGAACTGAGGGGAGGGAATTAATTTGAGATTGCAATGCTAAATAGGCACCTTCCTTGGTGGATGTGCTTTCCTTAGCTCAGGGGTCTCCAAACCCCAGGCCACGGCCCACTACTGGGCTTTGAGCCCTTCAAAATCGGGCTTTGGAAGTGGTGGATGAGTGCACACATGCATCCCCACATGCACGAGCAGCAGACAAGTGCGGGCGCTCACCCACCACTTCCGTTCTGACCGGTCCACAAAGCCAGAAAGATTGGGGAACTCTGCCTTAGCTGAGCCATATTTTTTTTTCAACGAAGTTAGTACTGCCAACAGAACTCTATTTGATTGCATCAAGCAGCTTCTCTTCTCCATCATCTCGCCCTAATTCAATCTCATCAGACTTCAGCTGAACGTATAATTTCAGCGGAATGAGATATTGATTTAATGCAGCAGCAAAAGTCAGAGAAAGTGTTGGAGGGTGAAGGGATTCTCTAAGCCAGTGTTTCTCAACCTTGACAATTTTAAGGCATGTGGACTTCAACTCCCAGAATTCCACAGCCAGCAATGCTGGCTGTGGAATTCTGGGAGTTGAAGTCCACATGCCTTAAAATTGTCAAGGTTGAGAAACACTGCTCTAAGCACTGGTTCGATCTGCAACATTTCATAGGTCACAAAAGCTTACGTCTTCTAATAAAATTAGTCAGAAAGGTGCTGCCGGATTCCTAAGGTTTTATTGCCATAAACTAATGCAGGGCTTTTCAACCAGTGGTACGGGTACCACCTGTGGTACATTGGCATCTGGCAGGTGGTACGCGACCATCCTAGAAAAGTGGTAGCGGGGGAGGGGAATGAGTTGAACCGGTGGCAGCACCGCACAAGCCTGGGCAAGAGATGGCTGGAGCTGCAGGGCTGTCAGGGCTCAGTGGAAGCGCCAGGATCAGTGTCAGGCTCCAGCCAGAGCTCAGCGCTGATCCTGGTGCTTCTGCTGAGCCCTGAAGAAGCGCCAATCAGCTGGAATGTTGTGATTTACATGCAGATGCTTGGCAACTGATTCATATTTATGACGGCCAGTGTCCCAGAGTCATGTGAAGTGACTGTTGTCTTATCAGGCTAAAAATGTCTATAATGAGAAGCATCAACTTGACCTCAGGAATTATGAGACTGCTATAAAGACTTTTATTTTTGGGAATGTCTTGGAGTCAGTGTGGACTCCTGGCAACTGCCTGGACAAGCCTTTGCAGTTTTCATGGCAACATATTTTGCAAGTGGTTTGTTATTGCCTCTTTTCTAGGGCTGAGAGAGAGGGACTGTCCCAAGGTTACTTAGATGACTTCACACAGAAGGCAGGACTAGAACTCATGATCTCCCAGTTTGTAGTCTGATGGCTTAGCTGCTCTACTAGACTGGGCTCTTTGGTAATGAAGATATTGGCCTTTATTATTTGCATGATTTGGCTTGCAAAAAACTCTTGGTGACCACTAGAGAGTAAAAAAGGATTTAAAATATCTTTGCCCCCATCTAGTGGACATCTGGATGGTTCCGGTCCAATCTTATAGCTATCATCTTGATTGTTAATTGCCATAAAATATGAGAAAAATCTGGGGAAAATGGCTGTGTGTAGCATCCCTGCTAAGCAAACAGCACCACATCTGATGGCCTCATTTGAGGATACACATCTTTTATTTTCAATTTCCTTTTCCTCCTCTCTATAGTCTTTGGTGGTGTCTGGGGGATTTAATTGCAGTCAGATAACAGCAGGCCAATTAACAGGGTATCCCAGACAAGAGAAGGGAACAGCTGCACTGGTTACCATTGGTGTAATTCAAGGTCCTGGTAGTCACCTATAAAGCTCTACATGGCTTGGGATCAGATTACCAGAGGAATCACCTTTTTTTCCCAGAGTTTCTGCCTGTCCAACTACTGATAGGGCATGCTGCAGATCCCGTCAGCCAAAAAATATCAGCTGACGGGGACTAGAAGGTGAGCTTTTTCTGCAGCAGCTCCTGCTCTGTGGGACATCCTCCCTTTGGAGATTAGGATGGCCCCAACCGTATTAGCCTTCCATAAATCTTTAAAAACCTGGCTATGCTCCCAAGCCTGGGGCACTACATGTGCCAAGGGCCCGGCCTCCTGACTATATTGTGAACAGACCAAACATCTTGCTTTGTAGCTACTTCGAATTAGACACTTTAATGTTTACATTGTTTTAATGGGTGGTGGGGTTTTTTTTACTGCTTTTATGGTTTTAAAACGTTTTTAAGATTTTAATTGTAATGTTTGTTTTGAATCGTGAGCTGCCCAGAATCATTTGCTGAGATTGGCAGCTATAGAAATTAAATGAATGAACAAACAAACAAACAAATAGCAATAGTAATAGCCCTTAGACTTATATACCACTTCACAGTGCTTTGCAGCCCTCTTGGAGCAGTTTACAGAGTAAGCATTATTGCCCCCCAAAATCTGGGTCCTCATTTTACCGATCTCGGAAGGATGGAAAGCTGAGTCAACCTTGAGCCCAGTCAGGACTGAGTGAGTCGAACTGCTGGCAATGTGAGCAGAGTTGCAATACTGCTTTCTAACCACTGCGCCACCATGGCTCTAAATAAATGTAAATAAATAGATAAGCAGAAGGAATGGGATAAGATGTTGCTGTTGCTGCTGCTGTTGAACTGCACCATGGGATGGGCTGAATATAAGTCTATAGCCTCAGTGAGACATTGACCAGCTCTTCTTCTTAGACTTCTCTGCACACTTGTCCAACATCTTTTGCTTCGAATCAGAAGCCATCTTTCTGAACGGTGAATGGCCAATATTTTGTGTATGTTGTCTTAGTGACTCCCTGTCTTGCTCACTTATTTGCTTCTGGATGCAGCCCAGCTCAGTGGCAGACCAAGCGACCTTGAGTCATCTTGGCCAGCTAAACAGGGAAGGAGCAGGTTGACCCTTGAATAGAGGACAACCAGGAAAGACCAGGAAATTCCAAAGCCTTCCCAGAAGACCATAAGGATCGCTTCCAGGTGATCTCCAAGAAAGCTACAGGGACCTCTATAATGTCACTGGGAGTTGAACTCTGTTCAAGGGAGATTTTAATTTTACAGTTAATCTTTGAAGTCCTAAGTCAACTTTCAGTTTTATGATGTTCTTTGCATGTATTGGAATTCAACTCATTCATTATTCCAGGCCAAGCTGTCTTGGGGGCACAAGTATGGAGATCCTCTCTAAATCAGGGGTGTCAAACTGTTGGCCCACGGGCCGGTTGCATCATGCGGAGGCTGTGCCCACCCCAGCTCCAGCAATGCAAAAAAAAATCATACACCGCGACACATCACGTGACGTGGCAGGTCTGACACTGTGTTCTAAAATAAACCCTTTATGCTCATGTTATAGAGGATATTTTGCTACAATATAGATAGCCCTCAAGTTACAACCATTCATTTAGTGACTGTTTGAACAGCTCTGACAAAAGTGACTTATCACCAATTTTCACACCTACAACTCTTGCAGCATCCCCATGGTCATGGGATCAAAATTTAGGCACTTGGAAACTGGCACCTGTTCATGACAGTTGCACTGTCCCAGGGTCACGTGATCAATATTTGTACCTTTCCCAGCCATCTTCTGTCAAGCAAAGTCAATGAGAGGAAGCCAGAGTCACTTAAGGACTTCATGATCCATTGAACAATAGCAGTGATTCGTTTAACAACTGTGGCAAAGAGATCGTAAAATGGGGCAAAACTCACTTAACAATTGCCTTGCTTAACAATGGAAATTTGGGGCTCAATTGTGGTTGTGAGTCAGTGGTGGGATTCAGCTGGTTTGCATCGGTTCAGCAGAACCGGTAGCTAAATTTTGTTCAGTTTGGAGAACCGGCTGAATGCACACTGCTTCTGGAAGACCGTTCTAGGCCTGGGACGCATAGAGAAGGTCTCCCAGGCCTAGAATGCTCCACCAGAAGTGCAGGGATGCCACTTCCGGAAGTCTGTTCTAGGCCTCGGAGGCCTGGAGGAGGCCTCCCAGGCCTAGAACAGCCCACCAGAAGTGCATGGATGCTACTTCCGGAAGTCCATTCTAGGCCTTGAAGGCTCAGTTCTGCATCCACTCAGAGAACTGGTTGTTGGAGAACTATGGCCACCACTGTGGCCCATAGGTTTCAAGCAGAGGTGTCCACAGGGAACGATCAAACAAGGCAAGATGGTGGCCACAACAGTTCAACTGAAGCTCCCCCTGCTTCTTCATGAGCATCACATATGTGCACCATCAGCTCTTCCATCTTGACTTTTTGGACATGCTCTGTAGACACTGCTACAGGTAGTCCTTGACTTAACAATATTTCATTTAGTGACTGTTCAAAATTACAATAGCACTGAAAAAAGTGACTTATGATTGTTTTTCGCACTTACAACCATTGCAGTATCCCCGAAGGTCACAGGATCAAAATTCAGATGCTTGGCAACTGGATTATACTTACGACAGTTGCAGTGTCCTGGGGTCAGGTGATCAGCTTCTGCGACCTTCTGACATGCAAAGTCAATAGGGAAGCCAGATTCACTTAACAACTGTGTTACTGGTTTAACAACGGCAGCGATTCACTTAAGAAATGTGGCAAGAAAAGTTGTAAAATGGAGCAAAACTCACTTAACAAATTTCTCACTTTGCAACATAAATTTTGGGCTCACTTCTGGTTGTAAGTTGAGAACTAGCTGTATCTATGCATCTCGGGTAGAAAGGCAATACTCGGCAGTAGATTCTCATTTCTCTGCGCTGCTCATTTGCTACAGATATCTCCTTCATTTGGTTTTAATGAGTTTTAAAGGTCACTTAAATTACGATGTCCAATCTATTATTACAGGAAATAATGAGCTGGCCCTTTTCTAAATTAACCACTGATATCTGTTGTAAATTTTTGTTTCACTGATTTAACTTAGACATCGCTGGTTGTTGCTTTTTTATATTTTAAGGCTTGATAATTGTGTTGGTTTAAATATTCTTACTGCTGTCTTCTCAAACTGACCTTTGTTGTGAAAGGTAAGACAGAAAATCATATCTACATATATATCAGTGGGCCAGTTACTTTCTCCTTAGTAACTAATTGCTAAAGATCAGACCACCCATCCGTGTCCCCTTGGCTAATATCTGGCTTGTACTGGATATTTCTGCCTCTATTATAATCTCCCTTCTGGTGAAGAATCCCTTTCTTTTTTAATATCCTTATTTTCTTACAAATTGGTTTCATTGTGCAACTCCGAGTTTTATCCCTTCCTTCCCCTCCCCCGTCGCACATTCATATTTTCATGTATCTCTGCCATATTGATTTAAGCCTCACCTCACATCTCTGATTGACTTAAATTTATGATTTCAATTATCTGGTTCCTGGTGAGCTGAGGACCCTCTGTTTTCAGAGAAAAATAACCAAAGAAACTTAAATTAACCCAGCATCTTCAATTGGCTTGCTGCTGCAACCCTTGGATTCCCAGACAGAATGACCAAAAGGAAATGGTTAGAGATGCCACATCTGAGCAGCAAAATCCACATGTCTGTTGGATCTGGTGGCCAAAAGATTTTCTATGCTCACTTGCTGCCATCTTGATGTTTGCAGCTCCAGAGGTTGTACATGTAGTCCTTGACTTACAACCACAATTGAGCGCAAAAGTGAGACGCTCATTAAGTGAGTTTTGCCCCATTTTACGACCTTTCTTGCCACGGTAAGTGAATCACTGGAGTTGTTAAGTTAGTAACCTGGTTGTTAAGTGATTCTGGCTTCCCCCATTGATTTTGCTTGTAAATAGGTTGCAAAAGATGATCACGTGACTCTGAGAGACGGCAGCCATCGTAAATACATTCCAGTTGCCAAGCATCCAAATTTTGATCACATGACCACGGGGATGCTGCAATGGTCGTAAGTGTGAAAAAGGGTCCTAGGTCACTTTTTGTAAGTCAACACAGCTAGACAGCATCTGGTTAGGAAAGGTTGGATTTGTCCAGGGAGAGGCCACCTTGGCTCTTTTATGACTCGTGGACTTCAACTCCCAGAATTCCTGAGCCAGCCATGCTGAGGAGAAAGGGAGAGGTTTCCAAGCTGAGCCATGCTGGCTCAGGAATTCTGGGAGTTGAAGTCCAAGAGTCATAAAAGAGCCCAGGTTGCCTACCCCTGGATTAGTCCATTTAAAAGATTTCAATGTAAAGAGCAAATAAAATTCACTCACAAACAAAGGAATGTTGCCATCTGAGGGGAAGTTTCCCATTCATTTTCATAAAAAATAAAAAGGCATAATCTGCCACACTGCATTTTGACATTCACTACAGAACTGAAAAATTAAAAAGCATACCATTTTTAATCTATTTTTTTCCTCAGAAGAAAACTACTGAGGAATTCATTAATTTCAGACTGATGAAACTCCTGTGATGTCGTGATGCTTTCACTGAAAGCAATCTGAATGTCCATAGACTAGGGCTTTTCAACCTTTTCACCCATTGTACCACTTTTAAGATATGGCAACATCCGAGTACCACCCGTCGCCTAGTAAGGTGTCAAAAACTTGATGACCAAAAAACAAAAAGTGATAAAGTACAGGTAGTCCGCGACTTACAACAGTTCGCTTAATGTTCGAAGTTACAATGGCACTGAAAAAAATGTCCCCCAAGCCACTGCTGAGCAAGACACCTGCCTGCCCACCCGGTGGCGCTCTTCCTCCTGTCCGAGGTTTTTATTGTGAGCATTTCTGTTGAGGATTGGCAGCGGAGGTCAGGTGGGGGGTATTTGGTTTTTATTCCACCCATCTGCTGGGTGGTTGCAGCAGGTTTTGGTCACTTCACATGACCCTGGGACACTGTGACCATCATAAATATGAATCGGTTGCCAAGCATCTGAATGTAAATCACAAGACCCTGGAGATGCTGCAACATTCCAGCTGATCGATGCTTCTTCTGGGCTCAGCAGAAGTGCCAGGATCAGCGCCGAGCTCCAGCTGGAGCCTGGCACTGATCCTGGCGCTTCCACTGAGCCCTGACAGCCCTGCAGCTCCAGCCATCTCTCGCTCAGGCTTGTGCGGTGCTACCACCGGTTCAGCTCATTCCCCTCCCCTGCTACCACTTTTCTAGGATGATTGCATATCACCTGCCAGGTGCCAATGTACCACAGGTGGTACCCGTACCACTGGTTGAAAAGCCCTGCCATAGACATCAGGCAGTCCTTGGCTTATAACATTTCATTTAGTGACCGCTCAGAGTTACAACGGCACTGAAAAAAGTGGCTTATGACTGATTTTTCATACTTATGATCGTTGTAGCATCATCCCTGTAGTCACATGATTAAAATTCAGAGACTTGGCAAATGACTCATACTTATGTCCAAGGGTCATGAGATAGCTTTTTACAACCTTTGACAAGCAAAGTCAATGGGGAAGCCAGATTTGCTTAACAATCGTGTTACTAATTTAACAACTTCAGTAATTCACTTAACAAATGTGGCAAGAAAGGTTGTGAAAATGGGGCAAAGTTCACTTAACTACTGTCTCGCATAGCAGTTGTGCTCGTAAGTCGAGGACTACCTGTACTCTCCATTCCCCAGATCCTTTCTCTTGGAAACGATCTGCCCAATGCCCATCACCCAAGTCACCTCCACCAACCTTCCAAGTCCAGCTTCACCATTCCAGCATCATCTTCCAGCTCGTTGGTCACCTCACACTCGTAGCGCCCATAATCCTGAAGAGTGACATTCCAAATGATGAGGGAGGCGTCATTGGGCCCATCCTCCTGCAGGGTTGTTCGGCCACGGTAGTTCCCAAAGGCTCTGCGCTCCTTCCCCATGGCTACAAAGACGTCCTCAAGGGACATGGGCTCCACCATCTTAGTCCACTTCAAGCGGATCTCATCGGGGTCATGGGCTGACACATCATAGTGGAAGTGGCAAGGCAAGATGATGGTGCCTCCACGGTGGGTGACCACCTTGCCTGGTGCTGTCTGAACCACAACGGCACCGCTCTCATCCTCTGTAGAGAAAAACAGAGACCTTGGGCTTCATTTCAAATCTAGAACAGGGAAAGCTTGGGAAATCAAGTGGTGCAGATGTTTGAAATGGCCAGATGCCCAGAGGTCTTCAACCTTTTGGGTTGGACTGGTTCCGTAGAGAAAGTTTTTTCCACGGACCGGAGAGTGTGTGGTTTTGTGTGCTGCCTGCATCCCACAGATAGAGCTTTGTTTGTGCGGACCGGTTGCTGGCATGCCGTGGCCTGGTATCAGTCCACGGACCAGGGGCTGGGGATCCCTGCCTGAGCTAAAGTTCACATTCCAAGAAGTCACCAAGGCTGGGAAATACTGTTTCCTAAACCTCTTTTCCTTGCAACAAATCTGATAAGAGACTCAGTTTGGTCCAGTGGTTAAAGCACCAGGCTGGAAATCAGGAGACTGTGAGTTCTAGTCCCACCTTGGGCATGAAAGCTGGCTGTGTGATTTTGGGCCAATCATCAGGACACCGTAAGTTCTAGTCCTGTTTTAGTGATGAAAGCTAACTGGGAGATTTTGAACCACTCTCTCTCTCTCTCCCTCTCCCTCTCCCTTTCCCTTTCCCAATCTCTCAGTCCAACCCACCTCACAGGGTTGTTGTGAGGAAAATACAGTAGGAGGAGGTATTAAGTATGCTCACTGCCTTGAATTTTTTATAAAAAGAATAAAGATGGGATATACACAAATAATGAATGAATCTGGGAATCTATCATCTTTGGTTTTGAGCTGCTACAGGTAATCCTCGACTTACAACCACAATTTAGCCCTAAATTTCTGTTGCTAAGCAAGACAGTCATTAAGTGAATCACTGCAGTTTTTAAGTTAGCATCTGGCTTCCCCCATTGACTTTGCTTGTCAGAAGGTGACAAAAAGTAATCACATGATTCCGGGACACTGCAACCGTCATAAATACGAGCCAGATGCCCAGTGGTTGAATTTTGATCCTGTGACCATGGGGGATGGTGCAACAGCTGTAAATGTGAAAAATAGTCAGAAATCACTTTTTTCAGTGCTGTTCTAACTTCGAACAGTCATTAAAAGAATGTTTGCAATTCGAAGACTGCCTGTATCTGGGATTTAACAGATATGAACAGCGATGGACAGTGAAGCTGATCAGATTCCCACCCGGATCAGGCCTCAAGAGATGCCAAAGAGACTTTTCACATACCAGAGACATGTACCATTTTCTTTCGTTCTTTCTGGGCCACTGAAGTCTGAAGGGAAAGCATCAGGAGATGGAAAAGACAGGAGAGCAAGTATCGCCCTGGAAGCATCTGGCAGAGAGACAAAAAGAGGGTAACTAGAACACCACAGACAGGGAGAGAAGATGTATCATAGGTGTGCACAGTGATTTTTTTCTAAAAAAAAAAAAAAAAAGGTGCCGGAACTCACACATGACGTACAACCTGCCTTGCCTACCCCACAAGATTCCATCCAAAAAAGGTGCCGGAACTCCGTTCTGGGCGTTCTATGAGAAAAAAAGCCCTGGATGTGCATGTCCATTTAATGCAGGCTTCTGTTCTGTATTATGAGCAGCTAAAATGGAAGTATCTAGCTGCCATGGCCTTATATTTTAAAAAAAATCTAAATCGGGTTGGTTTTGGTTAGTATGCGAATGAAAGACTACCAGAGCGATAGGCTAAACAGGAACATTTAAAGAAAAATGTCATAAAAATCAGCAACCAGCCAGTTCCTACTGTTGCTAAGAAAATGGCATGAATGTGCACCACCAGGAATTGGTTCAGAAGTTGGAACAGAAGTTGGTTCCTAATACTATTATATAGGGCTAAAAATCCACAGGATTATCCACATGTCATTTAAATAATCAGCAATGCTGTTATGGTCAAAGCCAACCCCCTGCTCAAGCAAGAGACCCTATACCAGGGATAGGCAACCTTGGCTCTTTTATGACTCGTGGACTTCAACTCCCAGAATTCCTGAGCCAGCATGGCTCAGCATGGAAACCTCTCCCTTTCTCCTCAGCATGGCTGGCTCAGGAATTCTGGGAGCTGAAGTCCACGAGTAATAAAAGAGCCAAGGTTGCCTACCCCTGCCCTATACCATTTCAGACAAATGGTTATCCAATCTCTTCTTAAAAACCTCCAGTGATGGAGCACCCACAACGTCTGGAGGCAAGTTGTTCCACTGATTAATTGGCTGAATCCCTTCCCCATTTCAGTTATGTTTTAAAATTTAAAAAGTTGATTCCTTAGAATAAAAGTGGTTGGGAGGGTGCTAAAAGAACAGAATGGACCGGCTACCATTGGAATTTTTGTTTTCAAAAATATCAGAATCCATTTTCAAAATGTTTATTAGTTTATCAGAATACAAAACACAAATAACAGAATAATGGAGCTGGAAGGGATCTTGGAGATCTTCTAGTCCAACCTCCTGCTCAGGTACGAAACCCTATACCATTTCAGACAAATGGTTGTCCAATCTCTTGTTAAAAACCGGATTAATTGTTCTAACTGTCAAGAAATTTCCTCTTGGTTCTAGGTTGGTTCTCTCCTTGATTAGTTTCCATCCATTGCTTCTTGTCCTGCCTTCTGGTGCTTTGGAAAATAGGTTGACCCCCTCTTCTTTGTGGCAGCCCTTTAGATATTGGAAAATTGGTATCATATCACCCTTACTCCTTCTTTTATTATTAAAAAGTTTTTATTTTCCATTCATTCATACAAAATACAATTCAATTAAAATAAATTCCTAACCATTGGTACCGCCTGCCCATTCCCCCCAGGCCCCGTCTAATCCTTCCCTATTTCCCTCCTCTTTCTCTCCTCCTCTCCTACTCTCTTCCCCCCCCCCCTTCTCCTCTAACCATCCTACTTCCTCCCTACTCCTTCCTCCCCTCTCATCCCTCTCACACACATGAACGCAGCATAGGGGAAATGCCCAAGCATTTACCATGACTATATTATCATTACCCACCACTCACCCACCCACCCACCCTCAACCCTCCCCCCCTCACTTCCCAGAGCAGAGTACAAAGTTATTAATAAGAAAGTTAACAATAATAAAAAAGAAAAAAAGAAAAGAAAAAGAAAAAAAAAGGAAAAAAACATCATACTTAACCTTTAACTCCCCTTAAATTAAGTCATATAAACAAATCTCTACAACAATTACTATAAAATTTACTCATAAAATAAATGAAACTTTATAGTCCCATATTTTTTCTGAATATAATCTATCCATCTTCTCCATACAATAATATATCTTTCTTGTGTATGATCCTTCAAATAAGCAGAAATTTTTGCCATTTCTGCAAAGTTAGAAACTTTGAATATCCATTCTTCTAAAGTAGGCAATGAGTCCTTCTTCCAATATGAGCCTACTAATAACCTTGCTGCAGTTAATAAATTCAACATTAAAGTAGTTTCTTTGTCATTTAAATCCACAAAGATAACCAATAGGAATAATTGAGGGGTGAACTTTATCTTCCTTTTAAAAATCTTCTCAATGTTCCATCAAATCATAATCCAAAAAGCCTTTACCTTTTTACAATTCCAGCAAACATGAAACTATGTCGCATCCATATTACCACATCTCCAACATTTGGGTTGTAAATTTGGATACATACAAAATAATTTTTTAGGATCTAAATGCCATCTGTAAAACATTTTATAAAAATGTTTTTTTAAAAATTTTCCCTCAAATTTTGAGCTTGTGTAAATTTAACATTTTTAATCCAAATTGTCTCCCATAAGTCCAATGGGATCGGATCCTGGATATTTTGAGCCCATTTAATCATACAGTCTTTAACCAATTCTGTTTCAGAGTCTAATTCTATTAAAGCATTGTAAATTCTTTTTATATGGGCCTGACTCTGATCTTTAATCTGAATAACCAGATTTCCATCTTCTAGTGTTATTCCTTCTTTCTTATCTACAGTCCACCTGTCCACTATTTGTAAATATTGAAACCATGACTGTAGAATATTACTCCTTCTTTTCATTAAACTAGGCATACCCAATTCCATAGCTGCCCACTTCACATTGTGACTCTGCACAGTGTATACAATAATAATAATAAAAATATGTAAAAGCCATTAAAACAACCAATCTGAATTTAAAAAGAAATGCAAGATAAAAACAAATAAAACAAAAAAATAAAAAAAACAAAATGGTGGCCAAACACACAGCATGGAATCTACATGCTTTATTCCTAGTGGTAGTTCTCTCAATCTGGGTCAGCTGAATATTTATTTATTCATTTATTCGGCTTAGCTTAGGGGTGGGAAACTATGATCCCTTTTAGGACCTTTCAACTTGTATTCCCCAAATTCCTGAACCAGGAATTCTGGGAACTGATGTCCACAGTCATAAAGGGGCCAGAGTTGCCTATTACTGTCTTAAATACTGCCCTGCTTAAATCAATTCTGGCTAACTCCAAGCATAAATACCAAGCAACTAAATGCAATCAAGAGAATAAAACATATTGGATAACAATAAAGAAGATGGCAAATCGCAGTAGCAACAAAGACGTTGTGCAACATACAAGGGAGTCGGATCACCCTAGCCTGGGAAAAGAGCTTTAAGATCCTCCAGAAGATAATTGTAGGATTGGTGAGATCTAGCTTGGTAGCCAAGGGGCAGCCGTGGCAGTGCCAATGAATGGTGAAGCCCAGAGATTGACAGCATCATCATCAGGCAATTGTAAAAGGCAGCTTTATGTGGAACAGCTTACTTCCTGCAATGAGACTTTTAATTAACATTTTCACTTATCCTGCTAGCATCTCATTACTTCAGGATCCAGTGTAAATTGCAGGTGTCTGATCCCCTTTTGCTGAGTTTACAGTGGGGGGGCTGTTAATCTTTCCACTAAATTGACAACGCTTGTTTATTAAGAAATATAAAATCGAGGTTGATTTTAAATCCCCCCCTCCAATTTGTCCTCCATTAGGTTATAGGATCTGAAGCCCACGCAGAAGGTAGCTTTATGCTGCCCTAGTTCTATTTTATTAGAGCAGGGGTGTCAAACTGGCGGCCTGCGGGCCAGATGCGTCATGCGTAAGCCACGCCCACCTGGGCTTCGCAAAAGAAAAAAATGTCACGATATGTCATGATACGTCACATGATGCAATCGAGCTTGACACCCATGTATTAGAGTAATTAAAATTAAACCCCCCTCTCTCTCTATTCGATAAACGTAGTTCTCAACTTACAACAGCTCATTTAGTGACCGTTCAAGTTACAAAAGTCAAAAGTGACTTATGTCTGTTTTTCATACTTACAATCTTTGCAAACCTCCCCGTGGTGCACAAATCTGTTGGATTCATGTCCAACTAAAATGGACCCAACTCACAGTTTGCAACCTACATTCGTCAATCACCTTCGCATCCACGTGGTTGATGGATGGGCTGTTGTCAAAAAGATCCAGATGAAAACCACAACTGTGCCATCAAAATCCACCCTTTTTACATGAATCGACATGTGTACAAAAGGGGTGAGGCTTTGACTGCATTGTCACGGGTACCAAATTAACATTTTTCACCAAAGCAGTCCTTTATTCAAACAATAAGGACTAGAAACCTGTTTTAATCTTAAGCAATTCTCCCCATCCCACCCAACCCTTGGTATGGTATGGTATGGTATGGTATGGTATGGTATGGTATGGTATGGTATGGTATGGTATGGTATAGTATAGTATAGTATAGTATAGTATAGTATAGTATAGTATAGTATAGTATGGCATAGTATGGCATAGTATGGCATAGTATAACATAGTATAGCATAGTATATTATAATATTATAATATTATATTATAATATCCAATATCTCAGGGGCTGCCATAAAGAAGAGGGAATTAAGCTATTTTCGAAAGCACCTGAAGGCAGGACAAGAAGCAATGGGTGGAAACTAATCAAGGAGAGAAGCAACCTAGAACTAAGGAGAAACTTCCTGACAGTGAGAACAATTAATCAGTGGAACTACCTGCCTCCAGAAGCAGTAAATGCTCCAACACTGGAAGTTTTTAAGAAGAGACTGGACAGCCACTTGTCCGAAATGGTGTAGGGTTTCCTGCCCGAGCAGGGGGTTGGACTAGATGACCTCCAAGGTCCCTTCCAACTTTACTAATATGAACAATATGAACAAAATTTTATGCTGCCCATCTTCCCTATAAGATTCCTGCAAGACTCAATGTCTAACAGTTTCTGCCATCCCACCTAAACTGCGCTGATTTGGGGATGTTTGCTGATCTGCAAAAAGCAGCGTTTTCATTTCCTTTGACTTTTCAGTCCTGAGGTCTACAGACAGAGAAGCATTCATCACAGCCGTAACCTTTCTTTTGCAACAGACGAGGGTGGCAGCCATGCTATAATTGGGCAGATTATGTACCGTATATCGCATATGTATGTAGAGCCATGTCTGAGGCGCACAAGGTCAAGCTCTAACTTTGTCTTCTCAACCTCGTTCTATTCAGAAGTAAAGAATTTTCTCTGCTGAGACTATGAAGCGTCTTTGCCTGGTTGGAAGTCAACATACAGTAGTTGAGAACCATGAAGACTCACTACCTGTGTCTTTTACTGGATTTAGTTCAGTAGCATTGCACATGCATTACATCAGGGGTCCCCAACCCCCAGTCCGTGGACCAGTACTGGGCCGCAGCATGCCAGCAACCGGTCCGCACAAACAAGCAAAGCCCCATCCACGGGATGCAGGCAGCACACAAAACCACACCTCATCCGGTCCGCGGAAAAACCTCTCTTCACGTTATCGGTCCCTGGTGCACAAAAGGTTGGGGACCACTGCATTTAGATTACAGGTTTAATCCTGGGCCCTTACCACTAAAAAAAAAAAAAATCAGATATCAAGTGCTGGGGAAGTCCTTATTTCTCCCCCAGAAAGCCATTATAAGTCAGAATATATAATGCTAGTGCTAAAGAAACGGATGGTTTCGACCAGCCTTTTATTCTGAATCATGAGGACTAGGATTTTGCTTTATTCTAAGGGGTAGAAACACAGCATCCTGGCTGAACCTCCTTTCCCCCCCCCGCCCCAAAGGAAACAGAAGTGGAAAACTGCTGCCGGAGTTAAGCAAAGTGGGGCTAGATGAATAGAGCATGAAATGAACTTCCTCTTTACAAGTCAGACAACAAGGAGTTAAAAAAAAACTCAAGCACTTCATTTTGCAGAGAAGAGATTTGCAAAGTTCTCCAGCTCTCTGGAGATTATGGATCTCTCAAGCACCCCCCCACACACACACACACAACTGAAAGATAAATACTCTATCTTTGCCCCCTTTTTTTCATTTTCACAGATTTGACATCTAACCTCAGGGCTGCTGCAGAATTAGGAACTCAGAGGAATGTTGAAATCAGACTCACTGTCCCATATTCCCCCCCCCCCCCACCTTAACATTTCATGCAGAGAATTCAAAATCAATCACAAATCCTTGTTAGAACCTTTCCCAAGTAGAAAACTCCCCCTTTTCGGTAAACCCATTGCAACTGAGAGTTGCAGAAGACGGGGGGGGGGTTGGTTTTATTCTGCTTAGCCCAGCAAGAAAAGTGGTACCCAAGTAAGATGCCAAAGGATGCTCTCTAAGCATCCGACTTATTACATCAACTCCAGATCAGCCAACGCTGCATTATCAAGGTGAAACCAAAAACTGTAACTCTGCCTTGCACCAAAGAAGACTCACCGTTTCTCCTTGAGGTGGGGGTACAGGAGATGTCCCAGGCCAAAAATCTCAGCTGGTGACTGAAGTTGAGATGACTGCAGAAGAGGCAATGCTGAAGAAACAGGGCAGAAGTAGGGGAGAGAAGAGAGAACAGAAAAGAAATTTGCCGGTCTTAGTTCATTTGGGGAGGGTTTGCAGTCTTTCTTTCTTTCTTTCTTTCTTTCTTTCTTTCTTTCTTTCTTTCTTTCTTTCTTTCTTTCTTTCTTTCTTTCTCTTTCTTTCTTTCTTTCTTTCTCTCTCTCTTCCTTCCTTCCTTCCTTCCTTCTTTCTTTCTCTTTCTTTCCTCTTTCTTTCTTTCTTTCTTTCTTTCTTTCTTTCTTTTCTTCTTTCTTTCTTTTCTTCTTTTTTAATTTAGCAGCACGATGCTGATAGCTCCTTTTCAGAGTCTTAGTCAGCAAACTCCAAGAAGTAGAGAGGGAGGGAGGGAGGGAGAGAGAGGGAGAAAGAAAGAAACAGGGAAGGGGGGGCAGAGAGAGAGAGAGAGCTCTGCTGCCTGGGAATGAAAAAATGAGCACAAAGTTGTATGGAAATGACTGAGGAGCAATAACTGCATTAGAGCAGCCTGCACAAACCAGCAGAAGGGAGGGTTTGGCACCAAAAAGTGGGGAGGGCAAAGAGAAAAAGGGATGTGGAAGGAGAACCTGCAAATCCTGGACAGCAGTAAAGTAGGTCGGAAGCTAGGTAGAGGCAGGCCCCAAATCTTGGTTCCAATTTTGGAGTTTGGAGCCTCATCCATACGGAAAGAAGCATCCTACGTTCTACGCAAGGCTGCTGGGTGGGAAAATCCAAGCTAATTTTGCCTTTTCCAGCCTCATTACAGGTAGTCCTCAACTTACGACCACAATGGAGTCTGAAATTTCTGTTGCTAAGTGAGACAGCTGTTAAGTGAATTTTGCCCCATTTTACGACCTTTCTTGCGACATTTGTTAAGTGAATCACTGCAGTTGTTAAGTTAGTAACACAGTTGTTAAATGAATCTTTGCACGTCAGCAAGTCACAAAAGGGGATTATATGACCCCGGGACACTGCAACCGTCATAGATATGAGCCAGTTGCCCAAATCTGAATTTTAATCACATGACCGTGGGGATGCTGCAAGGGTTGTAAGTGTGAAAAACCGTCACAAGTCACTTTTTCAGTACATTGTAACTATGAACAGTCACTCAACAAATAGTTGTAAATAGAGGATTACCTGTACAGATAGCCCTCAATTTACAACCATTCCTTTAATGATCATTTGAAGTTATGATGGTGCTGAAAAATGTGACTCACAATGGTCTTCACACTTATGACTACTGCAGCTTTCCCGAGGTCACGCGATCAAAAATTTGGGCACTTGGCAACCTGCATGTATTTCCAAGGGTTGATTGGCCCTCCCAGCCAGCTTCCAACAAAGTCAAAGGGGGGGGGGCTGATTTGCTTAACAGCCATATGATTCATTTAACTACTGTGGTGATTTGCTTAATAACCATAGCAAAAAAGGAAGTAAGATTGCACAACTTACTTAGAGACTGCCTCACTTAGCAAGGTCCCAGTGCTGGTCGTAAATCAAGGACTACCTGTATTAAGAAGAAGACACCCACCCCCACCCCATATGTTCTAGGCAAGGCTGGTGGATGGGAGAATGCAGGATTGCAGTTTATGCTTGTGTGTGAGTGTGACCAAATAGGATTGCAGCTTATGCTTGGGTGTGAGTGTGACCAAAAGAGGCCCCCACTCTTTCCTTTTTTCTTAAATTACACAATGGACATCCACTTCCAGCATACAAGTTTCTGGTGACCCCCCCCCCAAGTGATTGCAGCACAATTGGGAGTGATGTTGCATCAACAAAAATGCAAAATACAGGTAGTCCTTGACTTACGACAATTGAGTGCAAATTTTCTGTTGTAAAGTGAGACGTTTAAGTGAGTTTTGCCCCATTTTACAACTTTTCTTGCCACAGTTGTTAAGTGAATCACTGCAGTTAATAAGTTAATAACCAGGTTGTTGAGTGAATCTGATTTCCCCACTGATTTTGCTTGTCAGAAGGTCACAAAAGGTGATCACGTGACCCTGGGACAGTGCAACTGTCATAAATATGAGCCAGTTGCCAAGCATCTGGATTTTGGTCACATGATCATGGGATGCTAAAAAGGTTGTAACTATGAAAAATGGTCATAAGTCACATTTTTCAGTGCCATTGTAACTTTGAACTGTCACTAAACAAACTGTTATAAGTCAAGGACTGCCTGTAAGGAAAGTGGGGATGAATTCATGCAGCACTTTAGGCCTTATCTTTGTTGAATAATGGTTTGTTGATAAGCAACCAGCTGTGACTTTATGTATCAGGCTATGGTTTGAAGTGCACAGCTGTTGCATTCTGTGCCTTACAGATCTTAAAGAATTGTGGCCTACCAGGCATGTCAGTGGTGAAGAATGCTGGGCATTGTAGTCCCAACCATGATGCATATCAAAAATAATAGTAGTAATAATACTTTATTAGATTTGTACAGTATGCAGCCCAACTCCCTGACACCCAGCAACCTCAAAAATGTGGGGGATATAGATCACCACCATTTTGATTTTTCTGATCCATTCCCACAGGCACTATAAGCCATAATTGGTGGGATTTATTCAGCACTCTGACCGTAACCATGATTTACAAGGCAAGCTATGGGTGCACATAACACGCTAAGCTGCACACTAGCAAATTCTACTAGCCCGTTATGTTAAACCAGTGTCAGTATCCCAACAGCATCTTTCTATCATGGTCATTTAGAAATAAGAATTCAGCAGAACAACCAATTCTCCAGGCAATCTACCTGTGAATATTACTTCCTTGAATTGAATAACCAGATAGGGGTGAAGGATGCAAATATCTCTAAGCTATAATAGTGTACAAGTAATCCTCAACTTATGACAGGTTGCTTAGCAATAGTTCAAAGTTACCACAGAGCCCCCAAAGGATACTTACAACCCAGTTCCAAAGTTCCAATGGCTGCCCCTCCCCCACGATCACATGACCGTATTTTGAGCATTCAGCAACTGGCAATGACCATGATTTATGTTTTTCTCCGAAACTGGCATTTACTTCTCCCATTGGCAAAAATGCCGCAGGCGAATAATAGGTTTGCTTAATTATTGTGGCATTCGCTCAACGACCGCTGCAAAAAAAAAAAAAAGTCGATGGTCTTGTGATGACCCACTTTATGATACTCATGACCTAGGCTATGAATATAAATAGGCAGGCTCCATTATAATCTGTAAATTGAGGACTACCTGCACTTTTTCAGAAGCATCTACTGCATAATGGAAAATAGAATTTTTAGATGAGAATGATCTTTCGGCTTTGCAGAGGTCTAATATTATTGTTCTAGTAGCAAAAGAACAAAAGAGCCATAGGGGCGCAGTGGTTAGAATGCAGTATTGCAGGCTAATTCTGCCGATTGCCAGCAGTTCGATTCTCACTGGCTCAGGGTTGACTCAGCCTTCCACCCTTCTGAGGTCGGTAAAATGAGGACCCAGATTGTGGGGGCAACATGCTGACTCTGTAAAACAGCCCAGAGAGGGTTGTAAAGCACTGTGAAGCGGTATATAAGTCTAAGTGCTATTGCTAAAAAGAAAGCTGCATGTGTAGGGGCAATTACCCAATTATATGGGATGCAAAAAATAGGAGAAGATTGTTGGTTTTCTGCCCAGCTTGGAGGTTTCCTAGAACAGGTGCTTGGCAGCTAGAAGAAACAGGACAAGAAGGTGCATTTGAACTTGCACTGCATTATTAATCCTGTCACTGGAGCCAACAACATACAATGCTCTGTACTTGATAGTTCTTGTGGAGGTAAAAGTCATTTTTTTTAATTTTACATTTTTTAACCTGCCTTATTATTTTTTTAAAATAATATTATGTGAACTTACATAATATGCCTTTGAGGCTGATTGGACTGAGAGTGGGAAGAACTAGCCCAAAGTCATCCAGCTGGCTTTCATGCCTAAGGTGGGACTAGAACTCACAATCTCCTGGGTGATTGGCCCAGATTCATCCAGCCGACTTTCATGCCTAAGGCGGGACTAGAACTCACATCTCCTGGGTGATTGATCCAAAGTCATCCAGCCGACTTTCATGCCTAAGGCGGGACTAGAACTCACAATTTCCTGGGTGATTGGCCCGGAGTCACCTAGCTGGCTTTCATGCCTAAGGCGGGTCTTTTGGTTCTAGCCTGGTGCTTTAACTACTAGATCAAATGTTACCTTCCCATCAATGATTGGCACTGAATTGGTTTCCACATGGTATAAAGCTGTTGGCTTGCCTGACTACTGTGAGGCAACTAAACTGAGTTGAGTCTCCATACAGATGGTCCTCAATTTATGACCGGTTGCTTAGCAATCATTTGAAACTCCAACAGCCTACCTGTGGGTACTTATGACCTGGATTTGAAGTTCCAACAAGTTGGGCCTCCCATGGTCACATGACCACACTTCGGTTGCTCGGTAACCAAGCTGCATTTATGGCTGTTTGCAGAGTCCTACAGTCATACGAACAGATTTTTACCAGCGTTTTGCCAAAAACTGGCATTTGCTTCCAGTTTTTTGGGCAAAACCATCCAATAGCAAACCATGGATTTGCTTAACAATTACGATGCTCACTTAACAAATGCCACAAACAAGCCTATAAAACCGGGTCGGTCACATGATCACTTGACGACTGCCATGAGTTATGATCACAATGGGCAGGCTTCATTAGAGTTGTAATTTGAGGATTACTTATATTGTGCTAAGAATATGCTTTTCAAACCCCTTAATGCAGGGGTGTCAAACTGCCGGCCCGCAGGCCGGATGCATCATGGCGAAACTGCGCCCACCCCATTGCCGACAATGGAAATGTTGCGTTGCGAGTTTGACACCCCTGCGTTAATGCATTCATACAATGCATTAAGTCAAATCAACCAAACTTCCCAGGTTATCTTGTGAACCCAGCCAGTATGAATCTAGATAGCATCGGTCAGTTTGGCCAAGCACAGACAAAAGACACAAGAGTCAAACTCTTTAAAAGTCATATATTAATCTTTTTTTTTCCCCTTTATGATTCTGTAAACAGTGACTTCTTGGTGCTGTTCCAGGTCTCTGTTTCTGTGTTATGAACAAGTTCCTTTTGTTCACAAATTAGCACCCATCCTTTCCAGATGAAAAATAAGAAAAATGGACACCACGATAGCCAGCTTCTTCAAATTACATCCTCAAAGGCTTTCAAATCTCTCTGGTTCTTCTCACATCTCCTAGGAACCCCCCCACCCCAAAACCTCAGTGTAGTTTTTAAAGACCTAAAACCACCATGCCTTTGTGTTAACTTTGTTTGCCACTTCAAAAGGATCTGCTATAGACAAATGAACGTTTTTGATTTCACCGTTTCAAATCAGCTTCAAGTGCATCACGCAGATGAGAAAAAAGGTTGGCTGAGGCTGTAAAAGAACCCCAGAATGGTTTGGACCACCCACCCCCAAGTTACTTAAAACTCTGTCAGAACTGGGGTTCTCCCCAGGAAGCATCTGTGTGTAACACCATTGGATTTGAGCACAATATTTCCTTTTTTTCACTGGTTCTTCTTGTCTTTGGACTGGGACACCGGGCTACAGAAAAAGGCAGGTTTGTAGAGACAGCGGTAAGCTAAGAGTTGTGGGCCCACCGCATAGGCTACATTGCACAGGACAACAAACCACCAATCTCTTTCTGGGATGCGGTACGGAAATGGAGTGCGATGGTGAATAGAAGCAGCAATGTGGGAAAACTGAGCCTGAAAAATGGAAGAGACAGAAAAGATTTTGAGCAGGGGGTTGGACTAGAAGACCTCCAAAATCCCTTCCAACTCTGTTAGTCTGGAGTGTTGGCTATTCCTCCCAGCTTATAGTGTTATTCTGGATGGAAACTAATCAAGCAGAGAAGCAACCTGGAATTAAGGAGAAATTTCCTAACAGTAAAGACAATTAACCAGTGGGACAGCTTGCCTTCAGTCGTTGTGGGTGCTTCATCATTAGAGGTTTTTAAGAAGAGACTGGACAGCCACTTGTCTGAAATGGTATAGGGTCTCCTGCTTGAGCAGGGGGCTGGACTAGATGACCTCCAAGGTCCATTCCAGTTCTATTCTGATTCTGATTCTGGTCAGTAGGTCTTGTGGTGGCTCAGGTGTGGGTGTGTTCTAATTTTCAACTTTGCTTATTGTATTTGTGCCTTTTTCTCTTCCACTCAGGTCTGCCATAGATAGGCAACAAAACATGACTTTTTGTGCGTCTTCAAACACACTGATGCTTAGGAGCACAAATATGCATCAGTAAAGTCTCTTCTAAAAGGGATCATAATATCCTTTTACGTAGAGCAGTGTTTCTCAGCCATAGCAACCTTAAGAAGGGTGGACTTCATGCTGGCTAAGGAATTCTGGGAGTTGAAGTCCACCCTTCTTAAGATTGCAGAGGTTGAGAAATATTGATGCAGAGCCACATCAGAAATGATTCTCTTTATTTCGGGCAGTCTCATTCAGGCATGTGTGCCAACTGGCAAATGCTTTAATAATTTCAGGAATAAATTTGGAAATTCTGCTGGCTAAACTGAAGTTAGAGGAGCGGAACACAGCAAAATGCAAATGCCAGGAAGAAATGCCACAGGGGAACTGATGCATTTTTCTATATCTTCTTGGTACCCTCTTCAAAATTACTGATCTGGGGATTTCAAATTTGAAATCCCTAGATGTACTAAGGCAGCAAAATATTCTACAGTCATGGTTTCAATATTTACAAATAATGGATAGATGGACTGTAGACAAGAAAGAGGGAATAACACTAGAAGATAGACAATTGGTTATTCAGACTAAAAACCAAAGTACGGCTCATATAAAAAGAATATACAATGTTTTATTAGAGTTAGATTCGGAAACAGAATTGGTTAAAGACTGTATGATTAAATGGGCTCAGAATATACAGGAGCCGATCTCATTGGATTTAGGGGAGACAATTTGGATAAGAAATGTTAAATTTACACAAGCTCAAAATTTGAGAGAAAATTTTTATAAAATGTTCTATAGATGGCACTTAGATCCTAAAAAATTATCTTGTATGTATTCCAATATACAGCCCAAATGTTGGAGATGTGGCAATAATGATGCGACATACTTTCATATTTGGTGGAATTGTAAAAAAGTAAAGGCTTTTTGGATTATGATTTGGTGGAACATTCAAAAGATTTTTAGAAAAAAGATAAAGTTTACTCCTCAACTATTTTTACTTGGTATTTTTGTTGACTTAAATGAAAAAAAAACTACTTTGATGTTGAATTTATTAACTGCAGCAAGGTTACTAGTAGGTTTATATTGGAAGAAAGATTCCTTGCCTACTTTAGAAGAATGGATATTTAAAGTATCTAGTTTTGCAGAAATGGCAAAAATTTCTGCTTATTTAAAGGATCATACACAAGAAAGATATATTATTGTATGGGGAAGGTGGATAGATTATATTCAGAAAAAGTATGGAATTAAAAAGTTTCATTTATTTTATGAATGAATTTTAAATATTATAGAGAATTGTTTTATAGGTTATGGAGTTAAAGGTTAATTATGATATTTTTTTCTCTTTTTTCTTTTCTTTTTTTTTCTTTTTTCTTAAATACTATAATTTTTTTTATTATTAACCCTGTATTCTGCTCTGGGAAGTGAAGGGAGGGGGGTTGGGGGTGGGAGGGAGGGTAGGGTTTTTTTTTCTTGTTTTTTTGTTTGTTTTTTCTTCTACTTTAAAATTTTATTGTATTTTTATAAATGATTGTATGTTTAAAAAATAAAAAAAATAAAAAAAATTACTGATCTGGAAAGCACCAAACCCCATGAAAGAGTGTATTTCACTGGCTGGCAAACTGTTCATAGATCAAAAACCAAACTACAAATGAGCTTATTGAAATTTCAACAGTCCAAGGTCCCTTGGACCTTGCCTGAAACACTGAGATTTTACGAAGTCCAATGCCTTGTTGCCGAAATCTCTACAAAGTTTATTTTCTCCCCAAAGTCTCACAAAATACAGGTAGTTCTCAACTTACAACTGCAACTGGGATGAGAATTTCCATTGCTAAACAAGATGGCTACTAAATAATAATAATAATAAAGTTGGAAGGTACCTTGGAGGTCATCTAGTCCAATCCCCTGCTCAGACAGGAAACCCTACACCATTTCAGACAAATGGCTGTCCAATCTCTTCTTAAAAACTTCCAGTGTTGGAGCATTCACCACTTCTGGGGGCAGGTTGTTCCACTGGTTAATTGTTCTAACTGTCAAGAAGTTCCTCCTTAGTTTTAGGTTGCTTCTCTCCTTGATTAGTAATAGTAGTAAAGTTGGAAGGGACCTTGGAGGTCATCTAGTCCAACCCCCTGCTCAGGCAGGAAACCCTACACCATTTCGGACAAATGGCTGTCTAGTCTCTTCTTAAAAACTTCCAGTGTTGGAGCATTTACTGCTTCTGGAGGCAGGCTGTTCCACTGATTAATTGTTCTCACTGTCAGGAAGTTTCTCCTTAGTTCTAGGTTGCTTCTCTCCTTGGTTAGTTTCCATCTGTTGTTTCTTGTCCTGCCTTCAGGTGCTTTGGAGAATAGCTTGACCCCTTCTTCTTTGTGGCAGCCCCTGAGATATTGGAACACTGCTATCATGTCCCCCCTCGTCCTTCTCTTCATTAAACTAGACATACCCAATTCCAGCAACCGTTCCTTATGTTTTAGCTTTCAGTCCCCTAATCATCTTTGTTGCTCTTTTCTGTACTCTTTCTAGAGTCTCAACATCTGTTTTACATCGTGGTAACCAAAACTGGATGCTGTATTCCAAGTGTGGCCTTACCAAGGCATTGTAAAATGGTATTAATCTTTCATGTGATCTTGATTCTATCCCTCTGTTAATGCAGCCTAGCACTGTGTTGGCCTTTTTGGCAGCTGCAGCACATGGCTGGCTCCTATTTAAGTGATTGTTTACTAGGACTCCAAGATCCCTCACACAGTTACTACTATTGAGCAAGGTACCCCCTATATATACCTGTGCATTTGGTTTTTCTTGCCTAAATGTAGAACCTTACTTTTGAGTCAGACCTGATTTTATGACTTTTTTTGTAAAGGTTGTTAAACAAATCACTGCAGTTATTAAGTGAAACATGCAGCAATTCAGCAAATTCAGCTTTCTCCATTGACTTTGCGTGTCGGAAGCCGGCTGGGAAGAGTCACAAATGGAGTTTGTATGTCCATGGGACATCTCAACCGTCATGGTTAGCAATGGAAATTCTGGTCCCAATTGTGCTTGTATGTCAAGGATCACCTGTAGTGCTTTCTTCCAATAAAGTTTTGCCATATGACATTTGTAAACATTTAAACTGTCCAGTTACTGCACTATTCTAACCACTGCGCCATGGTAGTACAGTGGGTTAGAATGCACTATTGTAGGTTAATTCACTGTCCACTGCCAGGAGTTTGATTTTGACCAGCTCAAGGTTGACTCAGCCTTCCAAATGAGGACCCAGATTGTTGGGCAATAGGCTGACTCTGTAAACTGCTTAGAGAGGGCTGTAAAGTACTGTGAAGCGGTATATAAGTCTAAGTGCTATTGCTATTGCTATTCTTTGACGTTGCACTTCAAAGAATATGACAGCTCTGAATGTGAGGATCTCTCCTGACCTGAAATTGGGCAGTATCCTGCAGGCTCTTCTACATACCTGTCCAATAGCACCAGCAAAAACCAAGGCCCAGTCCCCCATCCATGTGCATCCAGGAACGAGTAATCCGTAGATGCAGATGCAGAAATACGGCAGGACATAAAATAGATACACCAACATCTACAAACAAGGATACCGAGAAACATTAGATTCCAGCACAGATCAACAATACAAGATTTCCTGAATGACGTTGTCTATGGAGATTCTCAATCATCCAGGTCATGCGTGTCCCAAAAGTGCTTTTCCAAAAGACAGCTGAACTGAAGAAGCTTCTTAGATGAGAAGTGGAATGTTTTCAAGCAAAAAAAAAAAAAACAAGAAAGTCCAGTTGCCTTTTGGAAAAGCACTTTTGGGACTTGAATGATAATCTGGATCCATAGGCAACCACATCAATCCAGATTTTATGAATGTGTTTTGAAAAACACAGTTCTAACAGATGCTGTCATTATAATGAAAGGAAGAGGAAGCAGTCAAAGGCTGCAGACCCCAAAATCAGAAGGGCATTAGGTTAAGGTATGTCTAGTTTAACGAAGAGAAGGACAAGGGGGGACATGATAGCAGTATTCCAATATCTCAGGGGCTGCCATAAATAAGAGGGAATCAAGCTATTTTCCAAAGCACCTGAAGGCAGGACAAGAAGCAACGGGTGGAAACTAATCAAGGAGAGAAGCAACCTAGAACTACAGAGAAACTTCCTGACAGTGAGAACAATTAATCAGTGGAACAGCCTGCCTCCAGAAGCTGTGGTGCTCCAACACTGGAAGTTTTTAAGAAGAGACTGGACAGCCATTTGTCCGAAATGGTGTAGGGTTTCCTGCCTGAGCAGGGGGTTGGACTAGATGACCTCCAAGGTCCCTTCCAACTTTACTACTATTACTATATTAGGAGGAGTTTACAGAGTTATTCTGCAGGGAATTCTTCCCAGACAATTTGAATGTACCTGAATCTTGGGATAGGCCACTGGGTCTCGCAGGTACGGTTCTTGCTGATAAACGTAATCAAAGCAGGAATCAGCTCTGCAGTCCAGAACAACCTGTAATTGCAGAGAGACACAAACATACACACACACACTGTTTGTAAATTTATTTACTTCGCCCCTCCCCAAATCATGAACAACTCTAATATTCCAAAATGGAATGATTACCACTCTTGGCACCATATTTCTTCTGTATCAGAAGACATTTTGCAAAATGCTTCATCCAGCTTGGCTTCTTTTAAGGGACAGAGATTCAAACGAGTGATGGATTAGAGCAGGGGTCCCCAACCTTGTCCACTTTATGACTTGTGGACTTCAACTTCATGCTGGCTGAAGAATTCTGAGAATTGAAGTCCACAAGCCATAAAGTGGACAAGATTGGGGAACCTCTGGATTAGAGCACAGATAATCTTCATTTAGTGACTGCTTCATTTAGTGACAGTTCACAATTACAAAGATGATGAAAAAGTAACTTTGTGACCAATCCTCACATTTACAACCTTTGCAGGTCTGCAAAGCAAAGCTGAGGTAAAATTGTAAGCTCAGTCATGATTTCATTTAGCAACCGCTTTGCTTATCAATCAAGGTGCTGGTCCCGGTTGTGGTTGCTAAACGAGGACTACCTGCTTGACAACTGTCTGAAGTTACAAAGGATCGCCCCAAAGTTACTTACTACCTATCCTCAAAGTTATAACTGTTACACACACACCCAGTCATGTGATCGCATTCCAGTCGCTTGGCAACCAGCTCTCATTTATAACTGATTGCAACATCCTACAGTCACGAACATGATTCTGACAAAAAAAAACCAACCTCGCTTTCAGAAGGGATTCACTTAACAATTATATGATTCACTTAATGACCAGTGACTCACTTTACAACCATTGTAAATCAGTTGTACAATTGAGTCAAGTTATGTGGTGATCCGCTTAACAGCCACAATGACTGTCCAGGTTCAGCTCTGGTCCTTACATGAGGTCTGAATAGCTGAATTGGACATTTAGTTATGAGGCCACTGCCATATCTCCCAGTAGACATTTTGTGCAGGTAGTCCTTGACTCACAACAGTTCATTTAGTGACCATTCAGAGTTACAACAGCACTGGAAAAAATGACTTATGACCGCGTTTCACATTTACGATCACTGCAGCCTCACCACGGTCATTGGATTTAAATTCAGACGCTTGGCAACTGATTCACATTTGTGACAATTGCAGCATCCCAGTGTCATGTGACCACCTTTTGCGACTCTCTGACAAGCAAAATCAATGGGGAAGCCAAATTCACCTCACAGCCATGTTACTAACTTAACCACTGCAGTGATTCACTTAACAACTGTGGCAAGAAAAGCCGTAAAATGTCTGTCTCAACTGTCTCATCTAGCAACAGAAATTTTGGGTTCATTTGTGGTCGAGGATTATCTATATATACTTGCGTGGATTGTGTGTATATCTTTACTTCTCTTTGTCAAGTTCTTATCATACGCTAAGTAATAATAATAAGTGAGGGCTATCTGGGTATTGGGGGAGGGGAAGGAAAAGAAATGTGGTTTGTGTGAACAACCATCTTTTTTCCAAACATGGGGGCCCCGAAACTCAGGGCCCAATACATGTTTGGATGTGTGTTCAACCAGCATTCAACTTCAGGAAAACTAAAACTACAGTATGGCTCCAAAGGCTGTGCAGAGAATGGCAGAGGCCTCAAGTTCTGGTTCTGTAAGACCATCTCTCTGCTTTGCTGTTGCCTCACTTGTTACACCAGAGGTGGGGAACTATGGCCCTTTTATGACTTGTGGACTTCAACTCCCAGAATTCCTGAGCCAGCATAAAAGGTCCATAGTTCCCCACTCCTGTGTTACAGCCATAGAAAAGGCAGTGTGCATTGCTTCCACTTTTTGCCTCAAGTACCCTCCATAGGATATACTTTCCTAATACCCTCACAGACTGCATGAAATGACTCAGAGAACCATAAGTGGGCCGTAGACCACAAATCTGAGGCCCCAGTTTAGTGGCTGAACATCTCATTTGTATAGATAATCCTTGACTTACGATCACAACCAGGACTAAATTTCCATTGCTACGTAAAATGGTTTAGTGAGTCACATCTGATTTTATGACCCTTTTTGTCACAGTTCTTAAGTGAATCACTGCAGCTGAAAATCACACAGCTTTGCTTGTCAGAAGCTGGCTGGAAGTTTGCAAATGGTGATCATGTGACCCCAGAATGCCACAACCATTGTAAATACATGCTGGTTGCCAAGGGCTCGAATTTTAATCACGTGAATGTAGGGCTGCTGTGATGGTCGTAAGTGTGAAGACCGGTTATAAGTTACTTTTATTTTGTGTTGTTGTAACTTTGAATGATCACTAAATGAATGGTTATAAGTTGAGGATTACCTGTATGCAAAACATCTAAGTTTTAAATACTGGTCTAACTGCCAAAATTGTTCAAGGGCTATTTTAAGGGCAAGCTGGCTCATTCTATAGGCAGAAAACAGTACCTTTAAAGGAAAAAAAAAAAAAGATAGATGGATAGATAGGGGTGACCCTGGGCATCAGCCGGGTTGGCAGGAGTCTCCTGACCATGTAATTCATCAATCATTTTTTCCCCAGGAGATCGTGACCCCTCCATTAAGGATGCTTACAAAATGCAGATTGGGTCTGAAAATGAATCTGCTGATCTCGACATTGTGGACACACTGCAGTCTTGGCAGAATTTACCGCCACAAGAGATCAGTACTTGCAGTCCAGCATTGATGGATTACCTGCTGTTCAATCAGGTATCACCAAAGTCCCCATTAATTGCATAAGTTGGACCAAGTCATGAACCTCCTCTGGTGCACTAGTAGGAAATAAAAGTCTCTCTAGATCAGTGTTTCTAAACTTCAGCCACTTTAAGAGGTGTGGACTTCAACTCCCAGAATTCCCCAGCCAGCCATTGAAGTTGAGTTGAAGTCCACACCCCTTAGAGTGGCCAAGGTTGAGAAACACTGGTCTAGGCCAGGGGTCTTCAAACTTGGCCCTTTTATGACTTGTGGACTTCAACTCCCAGAATTCCTCAGCCAGGCAGACATACAGACAGACAATTATCCTTACCAATCCTCGGAAGAGTGTGTAGACCACAGCCAAAAGGAGAAATCCTACCAATCCCAAATCCATACGGCGCTGGAGCAGATTCTTCTTTTGCTCTTCTGCAACCTTTCCCAAAATAGAAAGAAAAGTAGAATTAAGGAGTCTTGCTCTCAGAATGGGATTGGAGGTTGATTCAAAACTGGGGCCTCACAAGAGAAGATTGTCACTATCAACTTGTTTTGAAATTGGTACAAGATTGTGAGCAGGCAGGAAGTGACAATGCAGCCACCACAGGATTGCAGAGTTGTGATGCACAACAGCCTGTAAACTGACAGCCAACAAGTGAATGATTAGTTCAGTGTTTCTCAACCTTGGCAACTTTATGCTGTGTGGACTTCAACTCCCAGAATTCATTAGCCATTAATGGAAGTGTTAATTTACTGTTTAATTGATTATCAGTCGAACTGATACAGTTGCCCATCTACCCAAATCCATGCTTCTCAACCTTGGCAACTTCCAGATGTGTGGACTTAAACTCCCAGAATTCCTTAGCCAGCCTTGCTGGCTGGGGATTCTGGGAGTTGAAGTTCACTCACCTTAAAGTTGTCAAAATTAAGAATCGCTAGTCTAGTCTGATAAATTGTTTTCTGGATGGTCTGTCAAGTATCTATCTGACATTTACTATCTACTGTATAATTAGATGCCTCTATTCCCCTTCCACCCCACCAAGATTCTTTCCTCAAAGAAATTTTATACTTCTGAAAAAAAAATGCTGATCCCTCACTTTTGTGCTGTTTTGGCTATATAAGCAAGAATACTTGCCTCTGAGCATTGGAAATAGAAGGAATGAATTAAAAATTGTACTGAATACTCCTTGAGAGGTAGATAAGAAAAGTCAGGGACAAATCAATGGAAAGAATGATGATTTTGGTTTAATAATAAAAAGCACTATTATACAGATCAGCCCAACACGGTAGCCAGATTAAAAAAAAACCCAATATCTAACTATGTTTATTGTAACTGACACTTTGAATTATTAGAGATGGGAATAGAGGTGGGATGAAAAGCCAGTTTGGTCTAGCTAGTGGTTAAGCACCAGGGTAGAAACTGGAAGGCTATGAGTTCTAGTTCCACCTTAGGCATAAAAGCCGGCTGGGTGACTTTTGGCCAATCACCACGAGACTGTGAGCTCTAGTCCTGCCCTTAGCATGAAAGCCAGTTGGGTCACTTTGGGCCAATCATCAGGAGACTGTGACTTCTGATCCCGCCTTACGCGTGAAAGCCAGCTGGATGACCTTGGACCAGTCACTCTCTCTCAGCCCTAGGAATGAGGCGATAACAAACCACTTCCAAAAACCATGCCAAGAAAACTTGGGAGTCTCCAATGAGTCAACACTGATTGAAAGGCACCGCCAAGAAAACCACTTAAAAAAAACAAACAATCTATTATATGAAAAGTACCATAGTATACAGGGAGTGATAGCTATAGAACTACTGGTAATTCTCAACTTAGAACCACAATAGGGATCAGAATTTCTGTTGCTAAGCAAGGTGGTTGTTAAGTGACTCATGCCCATTTTTAAGACCTTCTTTTGCCATGGTTGTTAAGCAAATACTGCAGTTGCTAAATGAGTTCTGCGGTCATTAAGCAAATTTGGCTTCCCCCATTGACTGTGTTTGTCAGAAGCCAGCTGGGAAAGTCACAAACGGAGATCATATGACCTGCTCAATGCTGCAACAGTCTAAATCAGGGGTCTTTAAACTTGGCCCTTTTATGACTTGTGGACTTCAACTCCCAGAATTTGTGCCTGGCTGAGAAATTCTGGGAGTTGAAATCCACAAGTCATAAAAGGGCCAAGTTTGAAGACCCCTGGTCTAAATACACACTGGTTGCTAAACACATACTGGTTCCAATATCTAAAGGGCTGCCACAAAGAAGAGGGAGTCAGCCTATTCTCCAAAGCACCTGAAGGTGGGACAAGAAACAAAGTATGCGGATGACATGGCAATGGTGGGTCTTATCCGGGATGATAATGAAAATTCTTATAGGGAGGAGGTGAAGGCTTTGGCGGACTGGTGCAATAAAAATAACCTGGTTTTGAATGTTAATAAAACAAAGGAGATCATTGTTGATTTTAGAAAGAGCCAGCATAGTCATACTCTACTTTGCATCAAGGCTTCAGCGGTGGAGATGGTCAATAGTATTAAGTACCTGAGGGTGCAAATAACTAACAATCTGACCTGGTCTCTTCATACTTTATTCTTAGTGAAGTGTGCAAACCAGCATTTGCATTTCCTGCATCAGATGAGGAGAGCACATTTTTCTCTTTCTGTCCTGGCCACTTTTAACAGAGGTACGATTGAGAGCATTTTAACAAACTGCATCACTGTTTGGTTTGATGCTAGCAGTGCCTCAGATAGAAGGTCCATACAGAGAGTGGTAAGGACAGTTGGGAAGATTATAGGAAGCTCACTTCCCGTTATTCAGGACACTGCTTATAAGCCCTATGTGCTAAGAGCTTGAAGCATTGTTAGAGACCTCACACACCCACTTCACAGTCTGTTTCTGTTGCTCCCCTCTGGGAGGAGGTTTCAAAGTATTTATAGCAGGACTACTAGATTCTGCAACAGCTTTGCTTCTTATGTCATCCGTCTTGTAAATTTGCAGGATTCTTTTTTTTTCCGCCATGAATATGTATACATTCGAACTAGACTGTGATGTTTCTCTGTGTCATATATGTGTGTGTATGTGGGCATATGTATAATGGTATATTTTGAGAGTTGAATGCAACGAAATTTCATTTTAACGTACTATAATGATTAGTATACATTTAAAGTGACAAAGTTTTGTTTTGTTTTGTTTTGTTTCTAATGGATGGAAACCAATCAAGGAGAGAGAACCAACCTAGAATACTAAGGAGACATTTCCTGATGATTAGAACAATTAATCAATGGAATAACTTGCCTTCAGAACTTGTGGGAGCTCTATCACTGGAGGCTTTTAAGAAGTTATTGGACAACCATTTGTCTGAAATCAGTGGAACAACTTGCCTCCAGAAGTTGTGAATGCTCCAACACTGGAAGTTTTTAAGAAGAGATTGGACAACCATTGGCTGAAATGGTATAGGATTTCCTGCCTAAGTAGGGGGTTGGACTAGAAGACCTCCAAGGTCCCTTCCGGCTCTATTCTATTCTATTCTATTCTATTCTATTCTAGTCTAGTCTATTCTAGTCTAGTCTAGTCTAGTCTATATGGTTGGACTAGAAGACCTTCAAGGTCTCTTCCAATTCTCTTGGAAGAGAATTCTCTTGGAATTCTCGGTGCCACTGTTAAGTGCCCAGATTTTGATTAAGTGCCTGTGGGGATACTGCAATGATGTGTGATGTGAGAGGACCAGCTGTCACTTTTTTTCGGTGCCACTGTATCTTCTAGCGGTCACTAAACAAATAATTGTAGGTCAAGACTACCTTTAAACATATATTTTTCATACCTGATCAGCTGTTGGCAAAGGGCAGGTCTTGGGCTGGGCAAAGAATGTTTTGGCTGCCCAGATGGGTATGATGAGGTAAAGAAGGTTGAGCAGAAAGGTTGGTCGGACCTCAGAGCTGTATTTTCCTATAAGCAAAAAATCAGGATTTATTGATTTTTGAAATATTTTTAGAGAAAAGTTTAAAGCTTTAAAACGGAGCTTAAAAAGGGGGGGGGTTCACTTAAGGTTAAAAAATATGAAACAGTATAGTGAATTTTGTTAATATAAATGATAAAGATTAATGTGCAAGCAATATATATATTATTGTCTATAATAAGAAAAAAGTAGAAATGTTAAAGTTAATTTTTTAAAGAAAAGAATAAGTCTAATTTTGTTTTCATTTGGAAACTGTTTCTGGATTTTGACCTTATGATGGCAAAATGAAACTTTGACTTTGATTTTGCTGATTAGGTAGGTTCATTGTTACAGAAAGGTATAATATATATTATTATGTAAGAGTAAAAAGTTGAGGCTGTAATGTTACTATCTTCTACTGTGCTAAAAAGAGTCATAAGTCAATGCCCTTTTTTATTTTTGCTTTTTCCTACCCTTAATTTCCCATTATTTTCATTTTCATTTCCTGGCTCAATAACAGTAACTGCTAGAGGGATCTTGGAATCTTAGGCTGCATTAACAGAATGAAAGGACCAAGATCACATGAAGTGTTAATACCACTTTATAGGTCTTGATAAGACCACATTTGGAATACTGCATCCAATTTTGGTCGCCACAATATAAAAAAGGTGTTGAGACTCTAGAAAGAGTACAGAGAAGAGCAACAAAGATGTTTAGGGGACTGAAGGCTAAAACATACAAGGAACGGTTGCTAGAATTGGGTATGTCTAGTTTAATGAAGAGAAGGACGAGGGGGGACATGATAGCAGTGTTCCAAGATCTCAGGGGCTGCCACAAAGGGAGTCCACCTGTTCTCCAAAGCGCCTGAAGGCAGGACAAGAAGCAATGGAAGGAAACTAATCAAGGAGAGAAGCAACCTAGAACTAAGGAGAAATTTCCTGAGAGTTAGAACAATTAACCAGTGGAACAATCTGCCTCCAGAAGTTGTGAATGCTCCAACACCGGAGGTTTTTAAGAAGAGATTGGACAACCATTTGTCTGAAATGGTATAGGGTTTCCTGTCTGAGCAAGGGGTTGGACTAGAAGACCTCCAAGGTCCCTTCCAACTCAGTTATTCTGTTATTTGTATTTTATATTCTGATAAACTAATAACAATTTTGACAATGGATTCTGCTATCGGTATTTTTGAAAACAGAAATTCCAATAACAGCCAGTCCATTCTATTCCTTAGCACCCTCCCAACATCTTTTATTCTAAGGAATGGACTTTTTTATTTTAAAACATAACTGAAATAGGAAAGGGATTTTGTCAAGTCCAGAAATAAAAAAATAAGACTCACCAATCACATTGCCCAGCAGGAAGACTATGAGTGTCATGATGAAAGATCCTGTCCAATAGAGACCAACAGTCCGATAACTCTTTCTAGAAAGCAGAATGTTCCGGTAACTCTTTTTAGAAAACAAGCAGATATCCTGGAAAGCATTACAGGTAGTCCTCAATTTATGACCATAATTGAACCCAGAATTATGGTTAAGTCCTGGTGGTCATTAAGCGGATCACCACATGATCACACCCAATTTTACAACCTTTTGCAACCTTTTGACTAGCAAAGTCAATGGGGAAGCCAGATTTACTTAGCAACCACGTTACTAAGTTAACAAATACAATGATTCACTTAACAACAGTGTCAAGAAAGGTCATAAAATGAGGCAAAACCCACTTAATCACTGTCTCACTTAGCAGCAGAAATGTTGGGCTCAATTGTGGTCATAAGTGGAGGACTCTCTGTACCTCCCCATCTTTTTATACTTCAATGGATCAAGAAGGTGTTTGCCTGAGCCACCTCACAATATTACTTTGTTTCTCAGGACTCAAAATATGTTTCATCCCCCTTTGCCCAGATCAGGGGTAGGCAACCTTGGCTCTTTTATGACTCATGGACTTCAACTCCCAGAATTCCTGAGCCAGAATGGCTCAGCTTGGAAACCTCTCTCTTTCTCCTCAGCATGGCTGGCTCGGGAATTCTGGGAATTGAAGTCCACAAGTCATAAAAGAGCCAAGGTTGCCTACTCCTGGCCCAGATTATAGTTCTCGCATATTTTCATCAAGATCACTTCCCTTTCTCTCTATAGTTATCATCCCGTATAAAAATACGATAGAGTCCCAGGAGTTTTTGTGGTCTACTTCTTGACCTGATCTATCTCAAAGGGATGAAACTTGGCCTCTCACCTTTGAACAATGGCTGCAATCATGACGAGATACATGGCGAAGTTCACCGCAGCATGCCAGTAGGAGATCATGATGCCATATGCTGTGCCCAGATACAGCTCACCCTACAACGCAGAGGAGAAAACAGGAACACTGTAAAAAAAAAATCACCTTGAACTCGCTCCTCTCCCAGATGGCTTCAGAACAAGTCAACCAGCTGAACGCAGCAAGCTTGTTCTCTGTAGCACCAAAAGGCAGGGCTGGAAGGCATCAAAGCAAAGCTAAATTTTAACAGGGGTAGGCAACCTTGGCTCTTTTATGACTCGTGGACTTCAACTCCCAGAATTTCTGAGCCAGCATCCCTTTCCCCTCAGCATGGCTGGCTCAGGAATTCTGGGAGTTGAAGTCCATGACTCATAAACGAGCCAAGGTTGCCTACCCCTGTAAAATTTAGGAGAAAGCTCCTAATAGGACAAGCTTCCTCGAGAGACTGCAGCCTCTCCTTCACCGGAAGTCGCAAAGCTGAGATCAAAAACCAAAGGTTGCAAGATTTCTGAGCAGAATTTTGGATCTCTGAGCATCCTTTCCACTTGATCAGAACTCACGCGACACACCAACCATGCCAGTTAGAAACTTGGCAAGTGAATTTTCACAATGATACTGTACAGACATGACTCATGATCACAACTGAGCTGCACATTTCTATTAACTGAACCTGGCAATTGAGTGAGTCACGCCCTATTTTGTGACCTTTTTTTTGCTACAGTTGTTAAGCAAATTGCTGCAGTTAAGTGAGCCATGCAATTGTTAAGTGAATCTGACTCCCCCCTCCCTATTGACTTTGCTTGTCAGAAGCTCCTTAGATAGATTACAAATGACAACCCCAGGATCTCAGGACACAGCAACCAGGGTAAATACATGCCAGCTGCCCAGCACTTGAATTTTGATCACGTGATCGTGGGGATGCTGCAATGGTCATAAGTGGGAGAACTGGCTATAAGTCACGTTTTTCAGTGCCGTTGTAACTTTGAACAGTCGCTAAATGGATGGCTGTAAGTCGAAGTCTGCCTGTCATGTTTTGTGGGAAAGACCTTGGGAGCCGGGAGAAGAGATACTGTTGGTCAGATAACAGAGAGCCTAGCCCACCACTGGATAGCGGGCAGGGCAAAAAGTTCAGGAGGGACCCTCCCTAGTTTCCTGGGACATGATGGGAGATATAATTTCATAGAGAAGTATGACGGGAATTATGGTCCTAAGTTGTGCTGGTTGTTAAGTGGGCCACCATGTGACCTCATCCAATTTTACAAACTTTTTGTGGAAGTCATTAAGCGAATGTGGCAGTCGTTAAGTGGATCCATACAGTCACATGCAAACAGCCATAAATGCAGGCTGGTTGCCAACTGTCCAAAATGTGATCACATGATTGCTGGGAGGGGAGGCGGCCATTGGAACTTTGAATTTGGATCACAGGGAGTCCTGGGAGGTCCGCCGAACTTTCAAACAGTTGCTAAGCTACTAATCATAAGTCGAGGACTACCTGCATTTGCAAGAGTGATGCCAGCTTTATCAGGTAGACCAGACAGGAATCGTGATGAATAAGCTAATTCTACTTTATCGTAAATCTACATTAACAAAATCTTGCAAATCTGAAAGTAAAAGGGCAACTGGGGAAGTGTTCTGTAATTGGCTGTATCCTTCAAATAGCCATTTTGTGGATGTGCCCATGACCTGCTCCCAAAATTCCAACCGTTTGCATTTGGTTAATTTTCTCGCCTTCCCGCCAACATACAAGTAGTCCTCGACTTACAACAGTTTGTTTAATGACCATTCAAAGTTACAATAGCACTGAAAAAAGTGACTTATGACCATTTTTCACACTTTCAACCATTGCAGCACCCCCAGGGTCACGTGATCAAAATTCAGATTCTTGGCAACTGATTCATATTTATGACGGTTGCAGTGTCCCGGGGTCATGTGATGCCCTTTTGCAGCCTTCTGACAAGTGAAGTCAATGGGGAAGCCGGATTCACTTAACAACCGTGTTACTAACTCAACAACTGCAGTGATTCACTTAACAACAGTGGCAAGAAAGGTCATTAATTGGGACAAAACTCACTTAACCACTGTCTCACTTAGCAACATAAATTTTGGGCTCAATGCTGGTCATAAGTCAAGGACTACCTTATACTTACGTTTATCTGCCAAGATAAACCTGGCAAGAAAAATTTAAAATGCCTCATATTTTTTTTTTTCACATTACTGAATTTCTCCAACTGTGAAAATAGGCAGTGATCTGTGTCTGGTGAAGCTATGAGAAAGAGACATTCTCTTGTCTTCTAGAATCTTCCTCGGGAAAGACTCCATTGCATCGAGCTCAGCTTTTGACAAACATCACGGATGCAATTCGTATCATTTGACACTATTTTTTTTTTCTGGGATTTTTTTTTTAAATTCCCAGTTTTGGATTTCCATCCAAAAACTAACCACCTTTAGCCCTACTTAGCTTTTTGAGATCAGCTAGTTGGTGCCACGTGGAAGAGCAAAGCAGCTCAACTGCACCCACTTTGAATGGCATCCAGAACCAGCCAGTTAGCAGTCAAGGAGCACAACGAGTAAGGTTAGGATAAGGGTATAGATTGCTCTCAATGGGGGTGGGTTTCTTGTCCTTTGTCAACAGCACAGAAACAATCTCAAAAAGTTAACTAGGGTCAGGAACTAATGGGGAAAGAGATCCTTAGGAAATTCCAGAGCTGCTAGGCACGGTGGCTGAAATTCAGTTGATTTCCGTGTCTCTAGGCAGGCTGTAGACACAGAATTTAATGGTGGGTTCCCCCTACTTCCAAAAGCACAGGCTGGCTCCCTGCAGACAAACCTCTCTGATGTAGAAATCTGCAAAGTGGCTGATATAGCCGTCTTTCTCCAAAGTGATCACAGCGTCAGTTCCAGCAATGAAGCAAAGGACCATGAACACTGGCGGAAGAGAAAAAGTCAGTAAGTGGGTGCGCTTGTGTGTGCGTTTTCGCAGGCCATGACCTCTTGAAGTGAGCTCATTATATTTCCTAAACAAACTCTTTAATTGGCATTTTATATTCAACCGCTCTTCTAACTCTACAACCTTAGTGCAGTGACTCCCCCAACCTTTTGGGCACCAGGGACCGCTTCCGTGGAGAGATGTTTTTCGAAGGACCAGAGGGGGCACGGTTTCGTGTGCTGCCTGCATCCCACAGATGAGACTTCGCTTGTTTGCGCGAACTGATTGCTGGCATGCTGTGGACCATGGACCAGGGGTTGGGGATCCCTGCCTTAGGGGAAGTAGCTCTATAAAAATAGGGCTGTTCATTTAGTTCAGGGGTGTCAAACTGCCGGCCTGCTGGCTACATGCATCATGGCAAAACCGCGCCCACCCCATTGCCAGCAATGGGGAAAAAAGTCACGATACGTTGCGACATGTCACATGATGTTGTGAGTTTGACACCCCTGATTTGGTTCGTTTAGCATGGCTGGCTGGGGAATTCTGGGAGTTGAAGTCCACATGTCTTAATGTTGCCAAGGTTGAAAAACATTGCTTTAACAGGTGCTGTCCTTCTAATTAAAGCAATAGGATGCAATCAAAAACATGTCCAGGGAATTCTGGCTGGGGAATTCTGGGAGTTGAAGTCCACCCGTCTTAAAATTTTCAAGGTTCAGCAACACTGCTCCAAGCCTTAGATCTGGGGTAGGCCACCTTGGCTCTTTTATGACTCGTGGACTTCAACTCCCAGAATTCCTGAGCCAGCCATGCTGAGGGGACAGGGAGAGGTTTCCAAGCTGAGCTATGCTGGCTCAGGAATTCTGGGAGTTGAAGTCCACGAGTCATAAAAGAGCCAAGGTTGCCTACCCCTATCCCAGGATGAAAATTAAGAGCAGGGGTCTTCAAACTCGCCCCTTTTATGACTCATGGACTTCAACTCCCTGAATTCCTGAGCCAGCCATGCTGAGGGGAAAGGGAGAGGTTTTCCAAGCTGAGCCATGCTGGCTCAGGAATTCTGGGAGTTGAAGTCCACGAGTCATAAAAGAGCCAAGGTTGCCTACCCCTGGCTTAGATCATACAGTATAAGCAGTGTGTCTTAAAATTTCCCACAGGTTCCTTAGCGCCATCTACTGAGAGCAGAGTGAGGCTAGTGACCAATATACTATGCTAGAAACCAGGAGTTGGTGAGTTCTAGTCTTCCCTTAAAGAGGGAAGCCAGCTGGGTGACTTTGTATGGAATAATCCTTTTCCCCATCATCAAGTGTCTAATAAAAAAAAAATCACCTGTCTTTCTTTGTTCAACTCTGACCAAAATGCCTCTGACCACAGCATTCCTTGAATTACAACTACAATTGAGTCCAAGATTTCTGTTGCTAAGCAAGACAGATTTTAAGTGAGTTTTGGCCCATTTTACGACTTTCTTGCCACAGTCATTAAGTTAGTAACATAGTTGTTAAGTGAATTTGGCTTCCCCACTGACTTTGCTTGTCACAAGGTTGCAAAAGGTGATCATGTGACCCCAGGACACTGCAAACATCAATATAATCCAGTTGTCAAGCACCCAAATTTTGATCACACATGACCACAGGGTGATTGTAAGTGTGAAAAACAATCATAAATAACTTTTTCAGTGCCGTTTTAACTTTGAACGGTCACTAAACAAACAGTTGTAAGTTGAGAACTACCTGCAGAAGGTAGGACTGTAAAAAAAAGCTGTCGCCACAGTTTTTATCCATCGGCAATCATCTCCAGATATTTGACAGGTACATATTTGCTTTCTGTAATCACAATCTGTTCAGCTACCTTCGGGGGCCTTGTTTATGCAAAACCGCTGAGTGAAAACTTCCCAAACCAATGAAGTTTAATGTACAACTATTTCAACCACGCTTTCCTATTTAGTGATCTAATCCAGTATTTCTCAGTCTTGATAGCCTGACAATGTGTGGCTGGGGAATTCTGGGAGCTGAAGTCCACACATTGTCCAGCTGCCAAGCTTGAGCAACGCTGATCTAGTCATTAGGAAGAAAGCGGTAAATCAGGAAATCAGCAATTATTTCCACTTGTCCCTCCTGGTCAAAGGATCAACCAAGATGGGAGTGTGAGGGAAGAAAAGTGTCATGCATGACAAACCAGACAAGTAAAATAGAAAATAAACATACCGTATAAAAGAGGGTCCTCGTAGGAGCGGTTTGGGAGATAAATCAGAACAAACAAAGGCGACAGAATAATAACGCCGAGAACTGCAGTCACCAAAGGGCTGTAGGGAAGAAGGAACAAGCAGAGTTCAAATGCTAAAGTCATTAATTAAAAAGCCACCACTGGGAACACTATCTGAGGCTCTCCATAGTCTCTACAAGATTCAGACATTTAGAATTTTAAACTAAATTTAAAGTGCGTGGGATTCTCTAGAATACAAACAGAGACGCTGACAGGAAGAGGGGTCAACAAAGTGAAGATGGCAACCGCCAGGATCTTCATTCCCATCACAGACCCCTGTTCGCAGGACTTGGCTTACATTTAGGGCTGTCCATGAGGTAGGAGGTCAACTCAGTCAGGATGGAGTGCTCCCCCATGCGCTCAAAGCCCTGCCCCTTTTACACGACACACGTGAAATAAAAAAGGTATGAACATACCTAATATTCCTTCCTCCTCCTATTTTCCTCACAAGAACCCTGTGAGGTGGGTTGGGCTAAGAGAGAGTGAACAACCCAAAGTCAGCCAGCTGGCTTTCAGGCCTAAGGAAGGACTATAATTCACAGTCTCTTGGTGATTGACCCACAGTCCCCCAATGACTTTCATGCCTAAGGCGGGACTAGAACTCACCGTCTTCGGGTGATTGGCCCAAAGTCCCCCAACGACTTTCAGGCCTACGATGGGACTAGAACTCACCGTTTCCTGATCTCTAGCCTGGAGCCTTAAACCACCAGCATAGCTCTCTTAGTATTGTTATAATGTTATTCCTTCGGTGTAATTTTTATAGGGGTGATTTGGACTGTGGGGAGGGAGGGGGGGTCTTCTAAATAAATGTTTTATTGTATTTATTTATTTAATGTCTATGTTATGATCCAAAGCAACTCTGGGCAGCTTACAATACAGTACAATTTTGCTTCTTTGTAATAAGGCATGGGGTACAGGTAGTCCTCAACTTACGACCACAGTTGAGCCTAAAAAATTTTTTTTGTTCAGCGAGAAATGTGTTAAGTGAGAAATTTGTTAACTGAGTTTTGCCGCATTTGACAACTTTTCTCACCACTTTTGTTAAATGAATCACAGCAGTTCTTAAATTAGTAACACGGTTGTTAAGTGTATCTGGCTTCCCCATTGACTTTGCTTGTCGCAAAAGGGGATCATGTGACTCTGGGACACTGCAACCGTCATAAGTGTGAACCAACGGACAATCATTCGAATGTAAATCACACGACTATGGGGATGCTGCAGCAGTCGTAAGAGCGAAAAATGGTCATAGGTCACTTTTTTCAGTGCCGTTGTAACTTTGAACGGTCACTAAATGAATTGTTGCAAGTCAAGGACTACCTATAACTCCATTGCCCATAATACAGGAATACTGCATTCAATTTTGGTCACCACGATGTAAAAAAAATGTTGAGACTCCAGAAAGAGTACAGAGAAGAGCAACAAAGATGATCAGGGGACTGGAGGATAAAACATATAAGGAACGATTGCTGGAATTGGATATGTCTAGTTTAATGAAGAGAAGGACGAGGGGGGACAGGATAGCAGTGTTCCAATATCTCAGGGGCTGCCCCAAAGAAGAGGGAGTCAAGCTATTCTCCAGAGCGCTTGAAGGCAGGACAAGAAGCAACGGGTGGAAACTAATCAAGGAGAGAAGCAACCTAGAACTAAGGAAAAATTTCCTGACAGTTAGAACAATTAACCAGTGGAACAACCTGCCTCCAGAAGCTGTGAATGCTCCAACACTGTAAGATTTTAAGAAGAGACTGGACAGCCATTTGTCTGAAATGGCATAGGGTTTCCTGCCTGAGCAGGGGACTGGACTAGATGACCTCCAAGATCCCTTCCAACTTTATTATTATTACTACTAGTAGTAGTAGCAGTGGTAGTAGTAGTAGTAGTACCATGAAGGGAGAGTGCAGAATGGAGCACTGATGTTAGCCATCTTGCAAAACCTGCAAAAAAATCATTCGCTCTTCACCGATCAGCTGAATTGCTTTGTAGAATTGGGGGTGCTAAATTTCTGTGCATTTATTCTTACTTGACTGATACAAAGGTTCCGCATTTTCCCATTTCCGGTACTCCAAAACTGCAGTTTCCAACTAATTCTGATTTTTTTTTTAAGAGTCTAAAAGCAGAGGAGCATCTTTTTGCTAGGGCTCCTTTCTAACTGAAAGTGTGAGACACTCAAGCTGCCACGGTTTATGCATGTAGCACATCCCCTGGTACTTCCCCCCCACCCCCTCCCACACATCCTGATTGCCCCAAATCAGAGAGGGATCACCCTGAATGCCAACCCAAGGGCTCAGCCTGTTTATACCATCAGCAGCCAATGCACCAAGCTCTGAGTGGCGCTGCAGGAAACAGGCTGACGCCTGGTATCAAACTGCAATGCAGATGCAGCCTGAGATCCATGCAGTGAGCCTGGCAGTTTAGTGGGGTCTGGAAAAGGCCACTGAGGATCCGCAGAGCTGCATGGGGTCTCCAGATCAATAGTTGTCAGCTGGAGAGGCAAAAGAGGGCATGACCCGGGGGGGGGGGGAATACAAGACTCCCCCCCCCTGCTAGCGTTTTTTTAGACGGACTGAAAGCTCAAATGCCTTTAAGCAGGCAAATGCTGAGCAAGCCAGCTAAGCATTTAGCTAGGCATGAGACTGCTTTCCCTTTGCCTGCAGAGTTTTTCCTGTTCTTTACTGCAAGCGTTAGGAAAAAGGCATTTTTCACTGCTTCTAAAAAAAAAACGTGCCTCGCAAATAGTATCTTAAACGTGGCCCAAAGCTATGCTGGCTGCATTCTTCCCCTTTCTCTTTCTGCAATACAAGTTAAGTACAAGTAGTCCTCTATTTACGGCCATAACCGAGACCAATATTTCCATTGCTAAGCAAGGCGGGTTGTTAAGTGAACAGTGTCCAATTTTATGAGGTTTTTTTTTGCCACAGTCGTTAGGTAAATCACTGCAGAATCACTGTTAAACAGAGCAGGCAGTCGTTAAGCGAATCTGGCTTCCTCCCCCCCACCATTGATTTTGCTGGCTGGAATTTGCTGGGAAAGTCACCGATGGAGATCAGGTGACCCAGGGATGCTGCAATCGTTATAAAATACATGCCAAGCTCCTGAATTTTGATCAGGTGACTGTGGAGATGCAGTGATGGCCATAGGCCAGTGATGGCGAACCTTTTAGAGACCGAGTGCCCAAACTGCAACCCAAAACCCACTTATGCATCGTCAGGTGCCGGGTGGATGTGGCCCATTTGGTGGGTGTGACCCATTTGGTGGGTGTGGCCCATTGGGTGGGCGTGGCTGCGGTGGTAACAGCAGACTGGGTGGGACTAAAAAGTTCAATCAATCAATTCCAACTTTGCAAGATCTTTTTTTTTCCCGCGAGAAGTTGAAATTGACTGATTGATTGAACCTTTTTTTTTTTTTGTACACAGCGGCAGAGGCCTAAAGCAAAAAGGTTTTATAAAACCCAGCTGAAGGCCTCGGACTGGGGCGACGGCGCGCGTGCCAATGGGATGCCACCACTGCCATAGGCGAAAGGACCATTTCTTTTTTTTCCCGCGCCACTGAAATAGTCGTAAGTCAAGGAATACTGGTGACCATTCAGAGTGACCTTGGCACTGAAAAAAATGATTGATGACTGCTTAGGACTGTTGCGGTATCCCCATGGTCAGGGGTAGGCAACCTTGGCTCTTTTATGATGCGTGGACTTCAACTCCCAGAATTCCTGAGCCAGCATGGCTCAGCTTGGAAACCTCTTCCTTTCCCTTCAGCATGGCTGGCTCAGGAATTCTGGGAGTTGAAGTCCACCAGTCATAAAAGAGCCAAGATTGCCTACTCCTGACCATGGTTATGTGATCAAAATTTGGATGCTATGGCGGCTGCAGTATCCCGGGGGGTGTCACATGATCCCCTTTTGCGACCTTCTGACAAGCAAATTCAATAGGGAAGCCGGATTCATTTAACAACCGTGTTACTAACTTAAGAACTGCAGTGATTCACTTAACAACTGTGGTAAGGGAGGTCGTAAAATGGGGCAAAACTCACTTAACAACTGTCTTTCTTAGCAGTCGAAATTTTGGGCTCACTTATGGTCGTAAGTCAAGAACTACCCATATATGTATTACATCCAGGTCTTGGACACTGACAAATTGGGGCATGTCCTAAGAAGAGCCAGCAAGGCAATAAGGGACTGCAAATGAAAAGGGATAAGGGATGATTGGATACATACAAAGAGAGAAGCAACCTAGAACTAAGGAGAAATTTCCTGACAGTTAGAACAATTAACCAATGGAACAACCTGCCTCCAGAAGTGGTGAATGCTCCAACACTGGAGGTTTTTAAGAAGAGACTGGACAGCCATTTGTCTGAAATGGTATAGAATTTCCTGCCTGAGCAGGGGGCTGGACTAGAAAACCTCCAAGGTCCCTTCCAACTCATCATCGTCGTCATCATCATCACTACTGCTACTACTACTGCTACAGTGAGTGTATTTAGTGAAAAGATGATCAGAAGAAGACCTGAGCGCCATCTTTGTATATTTGAAGAGAATGATGTACAAGTTGAATCAGAATTGTTCAGAGTCATTGCAGAAAGAGGAGAAGAAGCTGGGAGGTCAGGAAGAGTTAATAGATTCTCCTTCATTGGATCACCGTCTTGGAGATACTGTAGTAATGGATCCATGCACTGGACTAGATGTTCTCTAAGGGACCCATCCAGTCCTTATGTTCTATGTATCTGTGTCAGAGAAGAGAATCAGTTTGATGTAGTGGTTAAGGCTCCAGGCTAGAAATCAGGAAACCATGAGTTCTAATCCGGCATTAGGCACAAAGCCAACTGGTTGATTTTCAGCCAGTCCCTGGGAAGGACGCAATGGCAAACCATTGTGAATGCTCCAACACTGGAAGTCTTTAAGAAGAGATTAGACAGCCATTTGTCTGAAATGGTATAGAGCAGGGGGTGTCAAACTGCCGGCCTGCGGGCTGGACGCGTCACATGGAAGCCGCGCCCACCCCATTGCCGACAATGGCAAAACCGGCCCAATACATTGTGCAACGTCACGTG